GATATTCTACGGGAATGTCGTGGCTCTTTGTACCTGAGGTTCTGTCTACTCCTACGGTCGCCTACCTGCTGCTAGTGACTCTACTTAGCGTCGTTCAACCTCAGTGACCGTCTCTTCTGCAATCTTTAGTTCTTCTGAGATCTTGAGGTCTCCTGAATCGTGTAGACTTCTCTTCGCAATCTCTCGCTTGAAGTGCCTCGGGCTTACGCCGTTAGCAAAGAGGTAATCCATCTACGTTGTTGGTTAATTCTGTACTTGCTGATTCTCGAGGAACTTACGTCTGCAAAGCTGAGCCCCAACGTCTCGGGGATTAAGAAGAAGAAGGCAACGCAGAGCGGAACTCCCATCCCTGCGAAGACAAAGCCGACTTTCGCGCCGAGATTGCCAGCATCTGGATTGATCATATAAGGGCTGATGAATCCAATCAACCAGCCGCTTTGACTTGTCAATAAATATTGTCATGATAAAGGATGGTTCACTCACACTGCGCCTTGTGTTATGCCTACTAAGGATATAGTGATCGGCCGTAGAGGAGGTGAAGAGACTTCAGATGCAAGGGCAAACCCAACGGCGCCAATGGAAACTTGATAAGCGAGAGCCCTGTCTGTGTCGTCAGCATCTGCAGATGCAAGTTCTGTGAAGACACCCACCAGAGGAAAATGCAAACAAGGATCACCCATAGTGCACCAGAAGTGCTGACGCATCCCATGATACCCATCAACTGTGATCGTGTTAGCGTGAACCCATCGTCTACAGACTTGAAATATTCTCACAAGCTCCACAACAGTCAACACGATCATTCCGTACATCAACAGCGGGCGTCGGCCAGCCGTCTCTATCAGGGGAAATGCGGCAATGTTGCTCAGAAGCATTACAACGTACAAGACCACAGATACAGTAAAATAGTCCTTGATGCCAAGGAGGGACATAAAGTAGGTGATGTAACCTACCCAGATCAGCCTTTTATCTGTTTGTTGTAGACGTGGTGTCATACTTACCGAGAACAAATGCTGCGCCTATGAACTGTTGCGAAGCAGGAGGAAGAATCGAGATAAGCGTTCGTTTCTTGAAGAGAGGGTATTAGCCACATTGGTTAAAAATCTATGACCGTGACATACCAGATTTGTGCCTTTGAAGCATTGGACAATCGGCGGACCGTCCATGCCGGCAACTGCTTCCAGTGTCTTGCTCACGTCGATCAATTCTTGAATCCGTGCAACTTCGGCGTCAATGAGATCCTTGTCTCCAGATCCATGGATTCTGTTCAATGCTTTTCGAGCTGCGTCTTCTTTGTTCTTCTTGAGAAGATAGTATGGTGATTCGGGAAAGAAGGGATAGCCTACGAGCAGAGCTGCGACGAAGGCAAATTGAAGAACGATGAGGGTTTGAAAAGACCAAGTACCATCAATTTTGGCTGTTCCATATGCCACCAGCCTTTGACGGCATTAGTAAAAGAGCAATTGAAAAAAGTAGAGATTGGATGCACAAACGCTAGGATGAACTGGCCCAGAACAATAGACCCATTGGTGATGCAGAGAAAAAGCCCACGAAGTTCTGGTCGGACAGTCTCGCCGATCCAGACGGGAGAGATCACAAACACGATACCGAAGCCAATTGCTATTGCTATTAGCCGGGAATTGGTCCAGGATCCCGGGCAGGTCCTTACCGTTGACTAGGCGTCCACCAAGAAACAATTTCCAATCATGACTCGCCACTTGTATTCCAATTCCTGCTGCTGTGATGATGGTGCCAACGATGATTGAGTGTTTGCGGCCTATGCGGTCCATGAGCTGCCCAGAGATGATAACTCCAATGACTTCGCCAGCCGTGCAGACACCAGACCATGCAGACTGGACCTGAACAGGTGTTAATATGTCGAATTCAGGGTCCTATTTTCTCGTGAACATACTGATGCGGGAATGAGGTATCCTGACGGTTGTGATGGATAGGGGATACCCATCACCTTTTGAAATGCAGGAAAGGCTGTTGCTGTCCCAGCGATCCCGAAGTCAAATCCTGGAGACACGGTCAGCCACATTTGACCTTTGCATGCTTTTCTTTGTATGGAATGACCGGTCTACCTACCCAGCATCATCGAGCCAATGGAGCTCCAGAGAGCCCATAGCGCGAATCGTTTCTGCCTTGAGATGATAGGCCATTTGTTCGAGGGCTCAATCTTCGTCCAATCGACTGTACCCATTGTTACCGTAAGAGCAAAAGCCTAGGTGCCTTTCGCGGATTGAGTGCATGCAATCGTTTCAAACCAAGAAAGAACAGATACTCTGACAATGCAGCAGATAAATGTCACGCCCATGGTGGAGCGATGCTGGACGGCTTCTACTTTATACGAAGTACAAATGAGAGCCAATCGATGGAGAAGTTATCTTCCCCGCAAAGTGTGTTGCAGGAGGATGCTGCGAATCTGGGGTTGGGACCAGCGTCCAACCCAAGGGCTTGGACAGACTCTAGCACCGCAAAAGAATACTTAACCGAATCCTGGTCTAGGCATTGGAAATGAGAGAAAAGCCCCTCGTTCCCAAGACTAATGGAAGACTAATGAACGCTAGGATAACAACCTGCTAGTGATCTCGGTTCTCTGGATCAATCAAACCAAGCGCAACTGGCCCTGTCAAGGGAAGATGTTGCTCTCAAGTGGCATCTGCTTGCAACAATACCCCACACCTTGTGTGCCTTGTTCCCCGCATCGCTGCTCCTATGCGCCCCCTTAACCGGTTGGCAACCGAAGAACCGATAAAAATGGCTTGCAGCCCCCTGAGTCTTCAGAGAGTCTCGTTATGCTCAATTCTCCGTCCATGCATTGTAGGCCTATGCCAAATGGCGTCTCCTAAACGTACTACACATGCACTTGACCCTGTCTCGCCTGGAACGGATGATGGGACCGAGATGCACTTACGAAAACGGCGTCGTGTTTCCGGGGAAAGGTCCACAGGCAAGATCAATTACCCCAAGAAACGCGTGTCGGTTGCTTGCGATGTGTGTCGATCGCGGAAAACAAGATGTGACGCTGTTCGCCCTGCGTGCTCCTTTTGTGCACAACTGGGGATTGTCTGTGTTTATCGAAAAGGGGATTCTTCGGCAGATGAGCGGTATGTAACCTATCGCGCCAGATGGCTCTGGCTCCTCATGTTGCTGATACGGGCCCGTAGATTGCAACATACAGGGTTAGATCAGCTTGGCCATGATCAAGATGTGTTGTCTCGGTTGGAGAGGATCGAGGCTCTTCTGGCCCAAACCGCAGAAGATGCTGAGCCTGCCGGACTCGGCTTCACGCGCGGAGTTGCATATCCAACCACTCCCAGGGCAACCGGACTATCTTCAGTCAGTCCTGCAGCTTCCTTTCTTGTGACCACTCTGGAGTGTCACAAGAGCAATTCGGACGCCACTTTCGGGTTCCATCTTGACGGTCTGTCTAGACTAGCTGATCATCCTCGTCCTCCAGCTCTCGCGCCCCTTTGCTCTGACGACCCGAGGCTCGAAGAGCAGCTGGAGTTGGAGATACACCAAGGTAAACTTCTCTTCCAATCAGACTCCCTTGTGGCCGATGGACTGGACTTGGGTCCAAGGCGGTGTTGGCAGCTTCAGCAGGCTTTCTCCGCAGATGTTTTACCATGGTGTCCTATTATTGATCATTATGCTTGCTCTGGCCTTGTCAGTGGGTCCGTTGAGGAAGGCTTTGAGCATTCGAAATTGGAGACGGCTCTATCCCTCCTTATCCTGGCACTTGGAGCATTCGCTCGTGAGAGTCACCACATGCAGGATGACTCGTCTCGGCTCCCCGGAATAGGCTACTTTGTCTCGGCCTGTCGGGTAATTGACCTGCACAGATCAGCTCGCTACACAATACTTTATGTTCAGTGTCATATCTTGATGGCATTCTATACCATGTATAGCATTCGTCCATTCCAAGCCTACGAGGCAATCACCACAGCCTCAGCAACAATCGTCATGTTGTTGCAACTGCGGACTCGATTGGCCACAGACCCTATCTACCGAGAGCTTTGCCACCGTGCATATTGGACATGTTATCTTGTAGAACACGAACTACAGGCGTATGTGTCATTCAGCTCTAGAACGCTAGAGGGACACCACGAAGCCGTTCCTTTGCCACTCAGCGACTACGACGAGCCAGGAATGTACTGGTTTCTCTCCGAGATTGCCTTGAGACGTACCTTCTCAAGCTCGCGGGACGGCGTACCTTGGGTCGACAACACGCTTTATGCTCCAGTCGTGGTTGATGAAGTGTCGTCCCAGATGTTTCAATGGCATGCTAACCTTCCAGAATTGCTTAAGTTTCCCGTCGAAACCGGAGACTCTAGCGACATCATCATGCCGCGGCCCCTTCTTGATCCTAGGAAGCTCTTCCTGCGCGCCCAGTTCTATGCTGTGCAGGCTACTCTCCACTGGTCATATGTAGTGCGACTACTTACATTCCCACACAGTGGCAGGGGTCAAGTAAGCTCAGAACATTCCCACGCCATCCATTCAGCCTCCAAGTCAGTCAACTTTGCTGTCCTACACATGTACTCTGTAGAGCCTTTGTTACAGGACAGGCACCTGTTCCTGCTGCCAAATATTACTGGGCTGTGTTGTGTAATGACATTGCTCTTATGCACATACAACTTGCCCGAGTTGGCAAGTATTCAACATCCAAAGGCGAAAGAAGCCTTGATGATAGCATGGCAGTGCCTCAAAGTTTGGGAACAGAACCCAGGAGTCAGGATCAAGCTGGACAAAATTGAGAGTTTAATGAATGCAAAAGGGATATTACCGCAACCATCAGACCCTCCAGACCAACATGGTGAGAATCGACACCTGGAAGCTCACGGCATTCATTTCACATACAGATAGCGAGCGAAATAGACTGACTCTGATACATGAAGTTACAAAGTCCTGTCACAGTTGTATAAAGCATTGGCAGCATTTGCGTAGAATGTAGCACCTCTATATAATCACAAGATATAGTATCATTTGGCCTCTGCCTACATTGTGGCCTTCGTTTCGTCATCGGCACCAAACACGAACCCCATGCTCAAACCCTGCGGCAACATTTTCAAGTAGCCCTTGTTTGCGCTACTGAAGTTGGGGTTGAACTTGACTTTCTTGTGATCCAAGCTCTCTGGGACAAAGTGCGCGTCGTAGATCACCGGGCTCAGCTCGCGGCTTGCCCACTGTTGAACCAGTTCCTTTGCAGACTCCGGCAGCACAACCTTGGCCGGACACTGATACCACCACGGCGTATGTACGAACGCTAACATGATGCGTGGGTCTGTAGCGGGATTGGCGAGGCCCGCGTGCCATAGTCGTAAGTCACGAAGCACGACAGAGCCTCTCTTCACGGTGGGTTGAATAGGCGGGGCATAAGCTCTGCGCTCTTCTAGCAGCTCATCGCGAATGCCAAATTCCTCCTCAAACTTCTTATTATATTCGCCATTTGTGTGAGCTTCCGTTCTGCAATTTCGGTGGTCCCGGAATGAGGTATCGCGGTGTGAGCCTAGCCACAACTCCGTTGAGCCATTTGCTGGCGATACATCGACAAGATAGTAGTTCGTCACAACGGCGAAGGGCATTTGAGCATGATTGAAAGTTAAGTCTGCATGGACTCGCTGGCGAGCACCTCCATACCCTCCCAATGCGGTATTTCCATTCACATAGTTGACATGTGGCTTCGGTCCCAGGATCGCCTCGAGAACAGTTGCGGCAGGCTGGTTAGCCCAGATATCGGAATACATGAGCTTTGGATCTAGTGGTGGGCCTTGGGACATATTTCCAGTTGGTTTACCGTCGGCTGAGTTCTAAATACAGTTAAGTTGGTCAACTATTATAAGCGTTGACGGACTATAACGCACATCATTGAAATGGGTCGTGGGCAGCTTGGCCATGGCCTCGGCCTCGTTACACAGAATTGAGTTCAAGTTGTCGATGTGTTCAACGTTGACTGCGTTCTCCAGAACAACCAGTCCGTCGCGATGTAGAGCTGAGACGGCAATACCGATATTCTCCTGAGTGATTACGCCTGTGGTACGCTCCTCGTCCGTGAGCTGAACGACGACCGGCTCTTGATATTCATACTGGGCCTTCGCAGACGGCATTTTGCGGAAGGATAGTGTAACAGTACAATGGAGTTTCTGCACTATTCACAAATCAATAGTATTCACTTCGTTCTTCGAAGCTTCCGGTTGGCATCAGCAGGTGAAGTTTTATAGAGTTTTCGATTTTCATCGGATGACAGTGAGTGGTACACTTCGAAGCTACCGTATTCTGCAGGAGACAATAGGCCACGGCACGCTTGTCCGGTGACCCCAGGCAACCCCAGATTATGCCAGACGTTGCCCACCCCCGCGATTCTGACCAAGCGCTGATCGATTGTTGGAAAGTGAAGTAGACCCAATCATCATCTAGTGGGCGAGTGTTCGTGAATGAAACCGATAGACCGAGACTCCGAAACAAGGGACAGAATTAGCGTGCGAGCATATTGGGTATGCCGAGCAACCGACCCACAGCGCCGAAGAACAAGCAGTTTGATTTTGGATTTGCTGCTTCCGTCTTATTGTTGTAATTTAAATCTACCGAAATGTCGCAAAGTTGCCTTTTCAGAAATTGGCGATCAGTGGATTCGCAACTAAAGTACCAAGCGATCTTTAGTACGCATTAATGAGTTCTAAAAGATCACAATGCCTTTTCGCACGTATTCATTGTCTAAATGAGAGCCTTGATTGACCTCGGTAATGATCGAGGTCACAGCTTGTTCTCATACTCCTACGCACATTACGAATATAGATCTTCGTCTTTGATTATAGCACACCGTATCCCATTCATCATGGTTGGTATTGCACTTCTTGGTGCAGGAATCTTTGCTAGCGAAGGTGAGTCCTAGCTGTTCTGCGACATCATTTACGCATCTATATTCACTTTCGTGCAGAACACCTTCCGGCTATACAGTCATGCTCCGACCTGGAGTTAAGAGCTGTCTTTTCTCGATCCCAGAAGTCCGCTGAAACCATGGCCGCACTGAGCAAAGTCCCAATCGACACGTATTTCGAGGTGCCTTCTCAAGCAGAAACCACCACGAAGACGCTTGATAGTCTTCTTGCTAGAGACGATATTCATGCGGTAGTAGTGTGCCTACCTATTCTTGCGCAGCCTAATGTAATACAAAAGGCTTTGAAGGCTGGGAAGCATGTTCTTAGTGAAAAACCCATTGCAAAGGATGTCACGACAGGAAAATCGTTGATTGATTTCTACAAGTCCTTGACACAGCAGCCAATATGGGCTGTGGGTGAGAATCTGCGGTTTATCGATCCAGTGGTGGCTGGAGCTAAAAGAATCAAGGAGATAGGGGGCGAGGTGGTCTCGTTTAGCTTCAACATGTTCACACTTATAGGTGATGATGATAAGTTTTTCAATACCGAATGTAGGTTGGCAACCACTATCACCTCTACATAAACTGACTGGCAAACCATAGGGCGGAAGGTCCCTGAGTATCAGGGAGGGTTTCTTCTTGACGGAGGCGTCCATTTTGTTGCGGCCTTGCGTGCACTGCTTAATTCGGCAGATGACGACATTAAAAACGTTGTAGCTCTTACGACATTACTTCAAGGCAAACTCCCACCGGTTGACACTGTACATGCGATAGTGGAAACTAGAAATGGCTCTCATGGCACGTTTTGCGTGTCATTTGGAACAGAACACAAGTCAGGATTCGATGTTGAGGTTGTCACTACGGCTGGCCGGGTCACTGTGAGCCCTACAGAAGTCACAGCCACTGGGAAAGCATTTGACGAACAAAAGAAAGAAGGATTCCCGTTTAGCTCAGGTGTTCAATCCGAGATGATTGCATTTGTCAACAGCGTCAGAGATGGTCAGGTAAATGAGCGCCAAAGTCCTGAGGAAGCTCTGAAAGATCTTCAGGTTTTGGAAGCTCTTCTAAGATCAGGTCATGCAGGAGCAGCGAAGACTCTTGTGGAATAAAACTTTCCAAACAATGCATGTAAGACATTGCGGTGCTGCGTACTGGTAGATTCGAATCCATGTAACCACGGTTTCCGAGTCTTATTCAATCTTTGGCCCAGTGCTCTCTTAGGACTAAGACCAACGTGCGATAGTTGATTACAGAGCCTATGACCGGCCCAGCCCCTCCAAAAAGCTATTCTAGCTTTACAAGCTCTGATTACCCCTCCATTCACTCTCGCTAGATCCCCTGTTGGCCATTGGATCGGTTCTGAGCCGACACTCCGTTCTGGTGTCCAGCAGCAGCGCTCGATTTCGCAGGTTGATGCTCCACTGCGATCTGCGCCGACCTTCCGAGCCCGTATGAAGCATTTCTAAGGAAGGGATGTGGCGGGATAGCCAACCTTGCTGATCTGAATGAACAAGTCTCCACCAAGTGTGCAGAATTAGGCAAGTGTCACGGGCCACGGAGCCTGAAAGCTTGGACAATAATGCTAATGTAAACACGGTCCAAGGGACGGGGAAGCATACCGAGAATCATTACCCAGATATTCTTTCAGTTATCAGGGCCAAGTTCTCTGCTCTTGATTATTCAACATACCGGCTATCAGAACTTAGAAGGAAGTCACATTTCATAATGGCTAAAGTAAAGACGACTCTCTCCACTGGATGGCAGTGGCGAATGGCAGATGCCAATGGTAACCAAACTGCAGACAATCAAGCAGCCCTGAAAGAATGGTCGCCTGCATCATCGTTCCCATCTGTGATTCACATGGAACTATTGTCTAGAAAGTTAATCCCTAATCCAAACATTGGAGAAAATGAGCGTCTGATCCAATGGGTTGGAGAGCCGGACTGGGAGTATGCCTGCTCTTTTATGACTCCCGATGGGACAGGCGAGATGAACCACGTCGACCTTGTGTTCGAGGGCCTTGATACGTATGCCACTGTATGGCTGAACGAGACTCAAATCCTGAAGAGTGACAACATGTTTATTCCAGAACGTGTCTCAATTAAGAAGAACTTGAAAGCCTCTGGTGCTGAAAATGAGCTACGGATTCTCTTTGAAAGTCCACTGAAAGCAACTTCAAGGCTCGAAGACGCATATGGTCCCCGTACGAGCATGATGAGAGACAAAAGAAGAATGCATGCTCGTAAAGCGCAAGTTCGTCTTCAAAGTCATCTGAAACGAAATCCACTAATTGCATAATCTAGTATCATTGGGGCTGGGATTGGGGTCCCATCGTCCTCACATCTGGTCCATATTTGCCAATCCATATAGAGGCATATAATTCAAGAATCGAGGATGTACATGTGGTACCTAAATTGATGGAAGACCACGAATCGGCTGATATCTCAGTCACGGTGACGGCAGTCGAGTCTGATCAGTCACCGAGTATGAATATAGAGATTATCGATAGCAACGGGCATGCTGTGGCTACTTTGTCTGGCAAAACATCGAATCCTGTAACCATTACGCTAAAGTCACCTAAATTATGGTGGCCGAATGGGCAGGGCGACCAACACCTCTACTCTACGAAAGTTTCGCTCTTGGACGCGGAGTCTAAAGTACTGGACCAGTCCACCACTCGATTTGGTATTCGTACCATTGAAGTTATTCAACGACCCCTAAAGGAGGCACCAGGGACGACCTTCATGTTCCGCGTAAATGGCCGCGACATCTTTGCACAAGGCGGAGATTGGATCCCTGCTGACATGTTACTTCCAACCATCTCCCGGGAAAGATACTTCGAATGGATCCGCTTAGCCAGACATTGTCATCTAAACATGATTCGCGTTTGGGGAGGCGGCATTTATGAGACAGAAGACTTCTTTGACGCTTGTGACGAGATGGGCATGCTCGTGTGGCATGACTATGCTTTTGCATGCGGAGACTACCCTATACATGGCGCCTTTATCGATACCATAACCAAAGAAGCCGAGGCGCAGACTACCAGACTACGAAACAGAGCCTCTCTAGCGCTTCTTTGCGGGGGTAATGAAGATTTCATGCTTGCGGACTGGAACCAGTATGTTATCCCTCCACCAAATCACAAAAACAGCTACTCACACTTATAGCCTCGAATATGATCATTCTGATCTGATTGGACCATTCGATGAGACCAAATTTCCGCAGCGAAAGATATATCTAGATGTTTTGCCGAAGATTGCACGGAGGTTATGTCCGAATATACAGTATTGGGCTAGTTCACCGTTTGGAGGATCCACGGCAAATGATACAACCATTGGAGATATACACCAATGGTCGGTGTGGCATCTTGAACAGCTTCCATACCAAGAGTATAAGAAGATAGGAGGGCGTTTTGTTTCAGAGTTTGGTATGCATGGTTATCCAGTTAATCGCACTGTCGAGTATTTCTGCCAAGGTGCACCCAAGAGTCAGCTTCACCCCCAGTCTCGACTTATCGACTGCCATAACAAAGGGCATGGAGCTCACACCCGCATCGCCCGCTATCTAGCAGAGAATTTTCGCTTTGATATAACATCTTTGAAGAACTTTATCTACTCATCCCAGCTCTTACAATCAGAAGCATACGGTTATGCTCTCAGGCAGTGGAAGCGACAATTCAACGGACCTGGTTTTGAGGAATGTGCAGGCGCCATCATCTGGCAATTGAACGATGTCTACCCCGTCACTTCATGGGCATTCGTTGACTACTTCCTGCGACCAAAGCCAGCTTACTACACTATTAGAAGGGAATGCGGGCCGATATCAGTCTCCGCTGAGAGAACCCCTAGCACACTCTGGGTCGATGAAGATAAGCCTCGACAGCCTGCTCCTCCTTTTTTCGACATTTGGGCTCATAATACCTCTCCAAAAGTTGTAGAATGTCTGCTTCTTCTTCGAGCCTACGACTTTGCTAGTGGAAGTTGGACTGAGCTCGCTGGTAATGATCAAGAGCGACAGGTTTCGTTGAAGCCGGGGCAGAACAATGAACTTGGACAGCTTGCAGCACAACAAGTATGGACGAGCGACAGCTTAATCATTCTTGAATTATCCTTAGTGGACATCAAGACGCGGGCAGCGCTCGCACGTCATGTCGATTGGCCGGAGCCATTTCGCTATTTATACTGGCCAGTGGACACCTCGATAGATGTCACAGTTCAGAAAGGAGAATCTGGAGTCACTCATGTAACAGGGCTTTGGGAGGACACAGTCGTTGTGTCAGCTAATCAGCCCCTCAAAGGCGTGTGGCTGGAGCCTATCTACGATGGCAAGGAGGTAGACACGGATCGGGAACCATTATGGGAGGATAACATGCTAGACATCTTACCAAATCGGGAGGTAAGAGTCCGTGTTTCTGGCCTTAAAGGACGCAAAGTGTCGGCTAGGTTCTACGCCGACTGGGAAGTATCCCTAATTGCTAGCAGATAAGAGCTTTGGTGTCTCGTCTAAATTACTAGATAGTAATCTAAGCATTCCAATCAAGCAATGCATCATCCCCAAGCTTCTCCCGGATGATTTGATCACTTAGATCCCACAAAGCAGCTCCCAGCTTTGGATCTGAAGCCAGAGAGGTCTCCGAACCAGTTTTACCAGGATCTGTGAAATACCAACCATTCTGGCCCTTCTCCTCAATCTCAGGCGAAGTCAATGCCCAAAGGGCACTATACGAGCCCTGTTTAACATCACGACCTCCAGCTTTCGATGCCCACGCCACGAGCTTGCCAGTTAAGCCTGGATAAGCACTCTTCCATTGCTCTTGCATGGCCGTATTAACCTTGGGAGGATGTCAGCATCGATGTAGCTTCATTATGGTCCAGAATCTGGGTAGACTTACCGCTCCAGGGTGTACTGATACGGCAAATATATGATCATTGTTGTCTTTCACCACTTTGCCAGCCAGACCATATTTTGCGAATAGGATGAGAGCGAGCTTCGTGCGACCATATAACTTTTTAGGGTCCATGTCAGGGTTATTGATCTCCTCGAGGCTAGCGAATTGGACATCTGACGGCGCGAATTTGTGCATTTCGCTTGCCTCGAACACAACTCTGGGTGCTGGTGTGCCGTGTTGCTTGCTCGTCTTGCGCAGAAGTGGCCAGAGCTGATTGCAAACGTAGAAATGGCCCAGAAAGTTGACGCCGAAGTGTCTGTCGATTCCATCTGCATCTACATCGTACTGATTTGTATTGATCCCAGCCGACAGCACAAGGAAATCCAGTCTTGGAAGTGACTCTCGCAGCTTACTAAACACATCTCTCACTTGCGCGAGGTTCCCCAGATCGCATTCTTCCCAAGCAACTTCGGCGCCAGGAGACTCTTCTTTGATCGCCTTTAGGGCATCTAGTCCTTGTTCTTCCTTCCGATTGATCATGATGACTTTGCACCCAGCGCTGGCCAAGGCCCGGCTTATCTCGAAGCCAATCCCGAAGGCGCCCCCCGTTACCACGGCTACACGGCCATTGAGATACTCTGGGTGTTGAGGTATAGGCCCAACGCCGGTGGTCTTTTGCAAGATGGACTGCATCTACGGCGTAGGTCCGGCTCGCTATGGTTGTAGGTTGATCAAAGAAGAAGAATTGTCGCTGTAGTTATCGTCTAGTGGTTTTATGGACTTGCGCCGATACCAGGCTCGATAGTTTCGCGCAACCAAGGTGTAATCGCTGCAGGATATAAACTTTGAAAATAAGGCATGATCAGCGTAGAAGGACGTCATGGTGAACGAAGCAGTGACTAACATTTTATCATATTAGAGTATCAAACATATCAGGATCAGGGAGGGTCGTGATAATATGACATCAGTCTGTCGTACAACGCCTCAGCGGTTGTCCAATTGCCTATCGAACCCCTGGTCAATCACCCGTGGTTGTCCCGCCTGGAGGAACCGCGCCTGGCGGTTCTGTCAGCTTAGTTTACCACACCGCTTTCAAGGCGCGGATGTTCTACAGGCGCCGTTGTTTTGAATTTAATTGCAGCGCTCTTGAGAAAAAAAAAAAAATGTAAAAGGAGCCTGAATGAGTGAACATTTCATGTAAAGTTAGAGAGAACGTGCCTCCCACACTTGTGTACCGAACTTTAAGCCGTGGCCGGAGTGGCCAAATTTGAATCACGCAAGAACAGCCCCTTGTCGATCTAATCACCTGTCGTAGACGCCGATTGTCTCAGCCTCTTGCCTGAGATGCAATGGCTCATCGCAAACAAATACTTCCATCTCTAGTGAAAGATGACCCTACGCAGTACACGTTCTCTCAATTGCGGATCAATCCTTTAAGCCCGGCAGATTTCTTGAGCCAGCGCCTACTCGCCGTATTCCAGAAGCCAAGAGTTTGCAATGACCTTGAATGCGGCCGTACTACTCTTCGTCTTGAATACCAGACCCTCTCGCATCTTTCCTAACATCCCAGTGCCTTCGGCCTTCTCCAAAAGCTCGGCCAAGCTAGTTGCAAACTCTCCAAGTTTGCAGTGCGCAATGATCGGTACGTGAGGAAGGCTTAGCTTTCGACATAGTGCTTCAACCTCACTGGTCGAACGGTGCCTTTGTTTATCGATATCGAAGATGTCAAAGATGAGAAATCGGTGCTCTCCTGGGCCGAATCCGATGCTGTTTCTCTTGATAGTATGTCCAACGAGCTCGCCCTGAACTGCCACGTTTCCACCGATCTTACTAATCTTGTCTAACAAGGAGGCTTGCTTTGCCGTCTGCCAGTAGAGATCCTCCTCGCGCTCGGCAATATCGTATTTCTGGTTGGCGATGCCGACCCGATGGGTGGCTGTCTCTTGTTTCGACTCTGGAGAAAGCTGAGGGAGGGCACGGCACCACACCGAGTTCTTATTGACGCAATATACCGTCATCGATAACCCATCTAGCTTCTCTGTAATCTGGTAATCAATTTGAAGACCACGGTGATCGAACAGTCGTGGAAGATTTTGAGCTCGTGGCGCGCCAGGTCGCGGAAAGAATGCGGGTGCTTTGCCGAGAACAATTTCGTTGGTGTCTTCGAGTACTTCCCACTTCTTCACGCCCAAATCGCTTTCGAATGACATCTCCCTCAGTATTCTGAATGCTTCTGCAAGGTCGTGGCTTCGTTGCTTCTCGATAAGAACCGCTTCGATGTTGTTGAACGCCTCGATGGGGAAGATGAGACCTTGCGACAGCTCGCCATAGGTGACCTCTGACCGGACGTGATATCCCTTTTGGCCGTCGAACTCGATAAACCAGGGAGAGTATTCCCACATCCGGGGGTCGCTTGACGGGATGAAGCTGTCGACTTCAAAGTAGACGACTATCTGGCCGATCGTGTATTCCTCCTTCTGAGCGACCACTGTCCAACTATGATCCACCGTTACCAAGTCGGCTCGACTTCGCTTGATGGTGCGGACTCCAGTCACTTTGCGGACTGTGACCAACCTCCTTTGGAAGGTTCGATCATGGGGCTTGGCGGGAAGCGATGACATTATGAGGAGGTGAGAAAGGCTTGTGTGCGACGGCGCAAATGGTTGCGCAAGTCCTTGGAATAGCTTAAGGGTAGGAGAGAGGAAGGCTCCAGCAGGGAAATGGAGTCATGAACTTTTAGTGCTATTGAAGAGGTGCTCAAAGTCGAAATCTCGAAAGCTGCCTAAGGCGAACCGCTTAGAAATTTTCTCAACATTCACCACTGGTGAGACAGTCTTCAACAATAGAAGAGAATGTTTGATCCTACATGGGACTGGACAGAAACTAGACCATGACATTTTCCAGTTTTTAAAAGCTTTCAGCTAGGCAGCATGCCACCATCTAATTTCATCCCTTTGTGGGCTCCAAAGAGACTTTCTTGTATTAAAAACACTGCCAGAGTCAACAGAATAAAGCTACGTTCTTTCGATTACTGTTATTATCTGCCGACTGTTAATGCATTTTCTTAGTTCTCTATGTCAGAAGCGCAAAAGTCGCACTGCTTGGCCACAGCCTTTTATTTCCACAGGATCATTATAGGTAGTCAAAGATAAGAGACATCGATAAGCTGATGTCTGACACGAATGATAGTAGATAGCTAACATCAAACTTGCATTTCCCTTCTATATAGTCCGTCATAGTGGTCCCAAGGCGGTCAATTTTGTGGATGGCGTCAGCTGATGATCTCAGCATTGCACGTTCTAAATGACTGATGGGTCCGGCTCTAAGTATAAATTGTAGCACACTCTTTCAGATTATCCCCTAGCTTTCGTCGTGGTCATTGTCACTAGCTCTAGGTCCAGTTTGGACCATATCTTTTCACTTGTCCTTATTCCAGTTATTATAGTCGCACCCCATTCCCTCAATTTCGACAAACGGTCAACCATCACAACAAAGCAACAAGACTCAACATGTCTTTAAAGCGCAAACAACTGCTTGAAAGTGCATATTTATTCCTTGAAAATCATGACAAGTTTACTCCTGAGTCAGTGATTGCCGACCGAACCAGTTCATGCACGCACACGCTCCTACCGTCATCAATACCAGTGGGACCCAGGAATAACTCAGAATATTCAGCGTTCATTGCCGATATGAAACAAGTGATGCATAATTTTAAACTTCATATAGTCCCAGGGACTGAGCCGGTGGTGGATGAAGTCACGCGGCGGGTAACTTTGCAACTCACCTCACACTCGGAGACAAACATTGGACTGTACGCAAATGAGTACATATGGATCCTCAAGTTCAGCGAAGATGGAAAACAAATCGAAAAGATAGTGGAGTTTGCAGACAGTGCATACACTCTCAATATGCTACCGAAACTGTTGGATGAACTCGGAAAGAATGCCACTATTGGCGCCGTCTAATTAAGCGTTTTCCTTTTAGTTAGGGCAGTTCCTTGTGTCGGAGCAAACTGTCACCTAGAATGCATGTGCCGTGGTCGAGAATTCTGGCTCATGATTGGCTGAATTTACTGGTGGGTCGCTTACTCTCCAGCCAATCAGAGCCCCGCATTGAGCCTTGAAAAGGTACCATCAAGACATTCTGGTGTACCTGACTCTTCGTATAGAGTATATAGATCATGATAAATATACCAAACTGCCTCTTCTCCTGAGCCTCTGCCTATTCCTTTTCTTCTTTCTTTGCCCCTCACTTTTATCGTATTTTAGCCAATGACAAATATGCCGTACCTACGAGTTCTGATAGCTCTCGAGGGGCGAGTGGTGCTGCTTCCCGCCTTGGTGTGCCATCTAGCCCCCTTTTCTCAAATATCTATTGTCTCTCTTTACTGTAACATCCTTACCGAGCAAGAGAAGGTCAAAAGATTTGGCATATGAAAGAGGATATAGCAAACCTGCACATCTGCATCATGAGGAGGATAAGACGATAGTAAGATGCTAGCTACGATAGATCAGTCTTGGTTACTTAAGTAGAGAAAAATCAAAGATAGACTCAATAGCCATCTGAAGAGATGGGCCCAAATTCGTCAAAGAAGCGAACAGGTTATGCAACAAATGGCTGGAGGATAGTGTACCAGTAATTTACTTAAATGAGTCTGGCGAGGCTTGCGACCAATGACTGGTTGTACCCTACGGCTTCGATTCCCCTTCGTCTGCTGACTTGCCTGAACCACAGCATGTGAGTCCGTGCCTTCTCAACTCCTCGAACCTGGCGTTCGTCTTAGCAATTTCCTCCTCTGTCGGCTTCCTAGGAATATTTTCCGCATCAGGGTGGAACATTTTCCAATGCGAAACGTTGCGGCCGTCGGCGGTGAGAAATCTCTCATGCATCGGTAGACCATCGTAGTATTCTCTGATCTGGGCCGGGTTGAGGCCAACTGCATCGAGAATATTCCGTTCTGCATCAAAGATTCGAAGCACACCGTCCCAGCCTAACATAGTTATGCACTTTCCGTTTGGATCGTCCTTCATCGATTTCCTAATGTCGCGGAGAGACATGTTGTCAACTGGAAGTTGTTGGTTTGCAACAGCTTGGTGTATGGTGGGGTTCTACAGTTGGTCAATTGAATGGTTAGCATACTGAGAAAATGAAGAAAAAAGAAACACAGTTCGAAGAGTTCGAGGAGCACTTGCAGGCAGCGTATCCGGCATATTGCTCGCGAGTTCATACAAGCGATGACGGCGTGACTTAAAGATCTCGAGCTAGAGTGATAGCAGAATGTGCTTGGATTTCAGGTAGGAACCGAAGATGCGGGCAGTGCAGTGCGCAGATGAGAGCAAAAGACGAAGGATGGACCGTCGAAAGGTCGTAATGAGCGGGGTAGATGCTTTCGGTTCGATAAAGACGAACGAAGGAAGAGAACCTTGGAATGTTGGTTGGCAGCGTGCAGAATGAAATAGGAAAAACCCTTGGAAGCCAGTCAGGACAGACAAGGTCTGGCCGGCAGGCAGGCAGGCAGGCAGGCAGGCAGGCTGCCAACCAACATGTAGTTTATTCTACACGCTGATAACTAACGAGCAGTTTATTTTATATACTGCTAACTGATATATAGTTTATTTTATATATTACTAATTAATATTTTAAGATTCTCTTTTTTTATTTATCTTTTATAAATCAAAAGTATTTAAGTATCTTACTTATTATAATCTTTTAATAGTCTATTCTTTATTCTTTACTTTTATTTTTACTAGAATAATTAGTACAAGAATAGAATAAATCATAAATATTATTAACGTTATATTATAAAAGCAACATATAATTCTAAGATTAGTTTCTCAAAGTAGTAAATCAACAATAGAAACTCTTACTTGAAGCCAGATTTATCCATCTGCCTGCCTACCTGCCTACGTATAGAATAAACTATATGTCGGTTGGCAGCGTGCAGAATGAACTGATGTCGCTCCTATAGCGCAATGATACCTATAATTCATACTATTCTTGCACCAATCATTCTGGTGGAGATGACGAGGTTGTTATCCGCTGTTAGACGGACATGCTCAAGGTAACTTCGATAAGCAGACCGATGAACCAACATTGTATCTTCAGGGGTTAATGAGCATGAGGCGTGCCTGTTGGTGTATGATGAACGGATATCAACGATGAAGCCCCGATGGGTACTTCCGAACAGGACCATGAATTGGATCTATATAAGTAAATAGAGCAGCTTTCTTCCCACTCGCTGAATGACAACTCAATGCTCACAATTTCTTCGTCATCTTGCCGAAGATAACAACATCGTCTCGCCTAACATGCAAGCCAACCTCTTCAAAACCTTCGCCATGGCTGCCGTGGTCTTGACTGTGCAGTCCGCCCTAGTAGAGATTGCTCGGGGCGACGTCGAGATCAACGTAGCTTAGACCAACGGTACTCAGATCAACGGTACTCAGGCCAACGGGTTTCGCACCGTTAAATTGGTACGTACTCTGCCCTCACATAATGCTTCCTATCGCTTCCCCTCCAAAGACTAACACTACCGATCCGTCTTCTCAGGGCCCAGATCAGATCTGCGTCAAAAAGAACAAAAGGGACCGTGGTCGTTTCAGCGCAAAACCAAGGGAGGGAGATATTTTCAAGCGGGCTTGCAGGGATTATACAAACTGCTGGCTCGATGACCAGTGCAAGAATATTGGATGTAGTGAATGCGTTCTTTACTTTGACATGTGTGGCAACGAGTGGCAGGCTTGCTATTAGCGGATGGCCGAAGGATACTTCACTATGGAGGAGGGCAAGCATGATGGACGATGGGTATGGCAATCTTGGAAACAATAACTAACCTCAAACCCATCAAAACAACTTTGGCCAGAGCTAGAGATCTGTTGTTCCTGCATTACTCAAACGTCAGCTTGGCTTTCATGTGTTACAACAATCATGATGGTCAACGTAGATGCCCCCGGCCGCACAACCTGAGCTCAAGGTTCGCAGGTTGTTACTCTCCACGACTTAACAAGATCTCTTCTCAGGAGAGTGCTTGTAGGAGTTTAATCCAGTTCCGTCCCAGGGGATCTTGGAAGGACTCACAGAATTTGCGCTACTGGTCCTCTGCGGTGACAAGATTGACGAACTCGTTCAGCAGCTGCCTCCATGATGATCGGTTAACCCTACACCATCTTGTGTTGAATCCAATGACAGCCTTAGACACGAGTAAGCAGCTGTCAAAAAGATTAAAATATTCTCAACGAACAGATGCGAGCGTGCGACTTTATAAGCCAGGCTTGCGGCCTCCATAACCGCGACTGTTGGCGCTGCTCAAGCGAAGCTGTTAACACCGAGAGATACATATACCCAGCCAGAAATGTACTTATCGAGGTGGTTTGGACTGCTGAAAATTGAACCCTCCTGCCTGCCAAAAGAAGCAGTCCAACCCCACAGCACATGCTCTCTGTTTGGAATGTCATGAGCTGTCCTGCTCCATTGTTAGGCTTTGATTTAAGCCAGAACTTGGTTGACATTTGACCTATCTGCGGTGAATTTCATTGGAGAAGATCAAATCATTTCACAGCAATACAGCGGCTGCAATGTACCATGCCACCAGTCGGTTGTCGCCTGTTGTTCCTGTGATTGTGACACAAGGGGCAGCAAGAGCATCGACAAGAGGATCATCGGACAGCCTCCAGAGGTAGAAATGCACGTTATATGGTCTGAATAACTGAAATGGATGTCCTATCACTACGGATTGCAAACCACTCAGAATGGTTCAGCAATCAACGATGTGCGTCTAAATAGTGATCCTTGGCTACAGATACCTCCTCTCCGGCTCGGCCGAATAGATGACAGCTAGCCAGCTGGTGGATGTACATTCGGCAACACTTTGCTGTCTCACGTGTCACTTGGTGAATACCTTATTGTCGGCTCACGCAAATATTTTACACGAGGGATAAAGGATTCAATAGAACCTACAGTTTCTAGCGTGATGTCAAGATTAAATGATGATTGACCGCTAATTGAGGCGCTACTTGTGTGTTGGTGCCCGTTCAAGCCGCTGTTAGTTTGGACGAAGCAGGGCGCTAGATCTCGTTCAGACATGTCAGCAGCTAGCTCAACCAGCGCTAGACCAATAATCCTACATCTACATGTCGATCGTGGGGACGGACTGGGGATATCGTCCCTGAACTTCGATTCAGCTGCCACGAGGAGTGCCAGCCATACCAAGATGGGTTTGACAGCTGGGAAACTAATGATTGTAGATGCTGAGCTCGCCGATCAGGGCAGCAAAAAGGCAATGTCGTTCCGGTAGGTCCAGCGAAGACCAACAAGTTGAGCACTGGTATCGACTAAATGCATATATAGCTACGAGATGAACCTATGTGTTACTCCCTTGAGCCATGTCTTGTTGACTGGAGACTCGCAGTACTCTTTGCCTCATCAGACCGATTATTGACCATGGCCGTTCAAAGAAAACTGGTCAGCGCCTTCTGGGCTTCGCTTGCTGCAAGCAGTGCTGCACATGCTCATGCTATCGACATTCAGGGCCGTAATCTTCAAGTTCGTCACGATGAGTGCAAGCCTACAACGACCAAGACAGAATACTGTACAGTCACCGAGAAGGAAATCGTTACTATCAAGGAGTACTACACCGTGACTCAAACAGAGCCATGCACAACATCCGATGCAACATGGAGTCTAAGTTACTCCGAGGCACCATGCCCGACAACCAGCTCGGAGTTCACCCTGACATCTTCAGAGTCGATTCCAAGTTCGAGCCCGACTGTCAGCCTGACACCGAGTTCAAGCCTACCTTCCATAACAAGTGAGGAGCCTACGTCGACCTCGATATCCAGTACCAGCTCCTCGTCTGTGTCTACGCCAACGAGTTGCCCAGTGCCACCTTCTTGCGACAACCTCGGGTTCAACTGGGCATACTACAACAACTCGGCCAGGAATGAAGACACAACATATTCCACCTTCCACCCAGACTCATACAAGGATGTCCAGCCAATATACGTCAGTACAACAAACTACGTGGGCGGCTTGTACCAAAGCATCGCCGGTGAGCCGTACCCTATCTACGATTCAACCGTAGATTTCAGAATGGACTTCTTCGCTCTCAACCACCACACCTACCTCTATGCATGTGACGAGGGCACATACCGCATCGACATCCCGTACTCCAACGACGCCGTCTACCTTTGGATTGGAGCCAAGGCGTACGCCGGATGGACCGATGAGAACGCAGATGCCAAGGCCCGCTATGATCAGCCCGATCACATTGCAGGCTCTGCTACCTTCGAATTCACCATTCCTGCTGGCACTTACGTGCCACTGCGCTTCTTCTATGGCCAGGCGCAGTACGGCGGCGGCTTCTACTTCAACGTTACGGCCCCGTCTGGTCAGGTTCTCGTCAGCAACGAGGCGACCTCGAGCCCGTACGTTGTTCGGAACTCGTGCGATGGTGTCATTGCACCTCCGTACCCGCCATTTGGTAGCGAAATCTAAGACCAGGGAAGTTGAGGATTTTTGCCATTCATAGATCAGACATGAGGTGAACGACCCAGGGTTGGCGTAATTCAGGGATGGTGTTGGGGGAACAGCTGGAGCATCAGAGCTGTAGTAGGAACAGCGTGAGGCCGAATAGAGCCGGGTTCGAATTTAAGCAGCTCTTTTAATTAAATGAATCTTGATCCGGTATCGCCGAGTAATGTCCAAATCCCATGAAGTACTAGGTGCAGCAGCTGAGACTCCACTCCTGCTCTTTGGTGTTCTTAGTGCTTGACCGCGTCAAGTGCTGTGCTTTGAAGCTAGTGCACTCGACGGTGGTCTGATGTACCGTAGGCCGAAGACTGTTATGCCTAAATGCATTTAACCATGTTGTGCTGACGGGACTCTTGGAACATGCGCAGGTCGATCCTTTTACAAGAGCCCCTGTGCTTGTTATGCTTGTTTTACGGAGGTCTACGTGGTGAGCGTTCTTGTCCGCTTCTCACTACTTAACTTTGATAACAACCTTTCCAAAATGCGATCCACTATACAAATATTTCATTGCCTCCTTGCTCTGCTCGAAAGAAAAGACCTTATCAACGACAGGTTTTATCTGGTGCTTGGTGTAGAAGTCGACCATCTCTTCAAATCTGTCCTTCGGGCCGTTTAGGATCCCCTTCAGAGTCACAGTCCGCCTCAGGCAGAGGACATTCACATTCGTCCGGTCCTCGGGATCGTCTATCTTGCCAGAGACATAGCCGATGCAGTTGATGAGTCCGCCATAGGCTATGGCATCGAAAGACTGGCGGATCGTCTTGGCACCTCCGTTTTCGAAGATGATGTCTGCGCCCTCATCGTGTGTCACTTTCATGACCTCGTCCGCCCATGCGGGCGTTGTTCGGTAGTTGATACCGTGATCAGCCCCTAGCGCTTTCGCCCTTTCTAGCTTTTCGTCCGACGAGGATGTGATGATTGCTGAGAACAGTCAGCATGATGGCGGATCGGAGTGAAACGACTCGTAGAAGCACGTACCTGTTGCACCGCTTGCCTTTGCAATCTGCAGTCCCGCGATGCTCACTCCTCCAGTGCCCTGTATGAGGATCACCTCGCCCTGGCCACCCGGCTGACCCATCGGCCGCATGCCGTTGATGGCCATCCAGGCCGTAACGCCCGCGATCGGGAGACAGCTGGCCTCTTCGTCCGTGAGATAGTCCGGGACCTTGACCAGTGCCTGACTTGGCAGCACGGCGTGAGTCTGCAGAACGCCGTCCAGAGGGAGACCTAATCCTTGAGTCTGGTGATGTGGCTTGACCTGTCCGGTAAAGTGCGTAAGATTGAAAATAGCCATGACCCGGTCGCCCACCTTCCACTTGGAGCCCTCGCCCACGGCTGTTACGATGCCACACATATCGGAGCACGGGACGACTGGGTCAGGTGAGCCTGTGGCGATGGCTTTATGGTGGTTGTAGAGACCCATTGCAACTGCGTCGAAATTAGCAACAACATCAAAGCCATTCGATACAGTCGCCATGTACCTTCGGTATCACGGTAGTTAAGAGACACTGTCTGTATCTCGATGAGGACCTCATCTTTGCCGGCCGTTGGCATCGGCGCCGACGTCATGAACAGCTTATCGAGCCCATCTTGTAGCGTCTGCCACCGCTTGACTTCTGGATCTGACATTATGACAAGACTTATGGCGAGACAAGGCAGGCGATACTTTGAGGCATAAGAGAAAGAACAATTCAAAAATGAGCTCGTAGAGTTCGTAGAAAGGCGCCGCGATAAGGACATCATCGGCAACTAAGTGGTCGGCACCGGGTGCACCGACGGCGGGGCCAAACTTCCCGAACCGAGTGGATGAGCGGATCGGAAGTGGCCGTAGAAGATCTCGAAGCCAAGCACTGATAAGAAAGAATGTCTTAAGAGTTCGATGATCTAGGACATGGGCACAATATGCACAAGGTGCACAAGGGAAACGAGGTTCTACGCTTAACGTAATTGGCAATCCCACAGGCCAATATTTGGTATCCTACATGACAAAATGAAACGAGATATCGCAAGGCGTTCGTCTGACAGAGCACCTTACATCAGGCGTCTTCGCAAACCCCGATATTCCTATCCACTAAGGCACCAGATCAAACGCGAAAGAGGATGCATCTTCACTCTAGTCGCTATCGCTGCTGCTTGAGCTCGAGCTCGAGCTGCCACTGCCCCTCCTCTTGTGATGCTTCTCCTTCTTGTGACCCTTGTACTTCTTGTGCCTGCAGCGTAGATGTCAGTCAGCTGTGGCCCAGACAGATGTAGACGCATCGCAACGAGGGGGAATACTCACTTCTTCTCAAACTTGTTCTCCAGCATGTTGGCACCGATCGCGCCCGCAATGGCACCCCCCACGGTGCCAAGAGCCCCTCCTCCTGCAGCGTGCGCCGCCCAGCCTGCGGCCCCACCACCGAGCAGCGTCGCACCGAGGCCGCGCTCGTCCTGCTGCGCACCGCCGGGCCCGGGGGGATACTGGCCGGCGTTGTAGCCCTGCGGCGGCTGCGGCGAGTGGCCGCCGTGGGGCGGGTAGCCGCCGCCGGGTTGGCCGTGTCCGCCGTATTGCTGCTGGGGCGGGTAGGGCGAGCTGCCGCGGTTGTCATGGGGCGGCTGGCCGTACGGCTGTCCGTAGCCCTGATGTGGAGGAGGAGGAGGGGAGCCGTATCCGTGCTGCGGCGGCGGCTGTCCATAGCCTTGAGGAGGTGGAGGAGAGCCGTACTGCTGCTGAGGGGGCGGGCTTCCGTAGTAGCCGCCTTGCTGTTGGGGAGGAGGAGCGTTGTAGCCGGGGCCTTGGTTGTAGGGCGAATGCGACTGGGGAGGATATCCGCCCTGCGGTTAGGATCAACATCAGCTGTGGTCATCGAGTCTGGAAGCAGAGCTGAGTGCGTACCTGAGAGGGATATGCTCCGGGAGGCGGGCCCTGTCCCTGGCCCTGTCCCTGATAGCCTTGCTGCTGGCCATACTGCTGTCCGTAGCCTTGCTGTTGCTGCTGATAGCCTCCGCCGGCGCCTGCGTAGTAGTCGTTTGCCGACATGATTGCGATTGATTGCTGTCAGATGGCGACTGACGATGAATCGGGTCGGGGGTGGATGTTGGATGGTCAAAAGGACGGAAACAAAAGCGGAAGGAGCGAGGTGAGGTCGTGACAAAGCTGAATGGGCCTATTTATTGAGCTTTCGTGAAAGGGCGGCGGTTATGTTATACGAAAGGAACGAAAGGATTCCCCTCAGCAAGCGCCCGCCCGCCATTAGCAGACGATGCACGCCATTTCATCCCCGTCCATCTTGCTCGTAGTAGTGAATGAATTGCCCGCCAACCCCGCCGCTTGTTGGCGCTACTCTGATGGCTGTGTGTGAGGGCTCCCTCAGCTCTCCCAGTCTTCAGTGGAGGAGGCCCAATTTCGTCAGAGCTGTGGCGCAGTAATGGCGCGGGGCAAACGGCCCGTTATTAACGTTGGGTAACGTTATCACACTGAAGTTTCAGGAGCCGTTAACCTTAACTTTAGCCAACAATTCCTTCTTCCCAAGCCACAGTCTGGAGGCCGCCTCCTTGATGAAGCTAATCCATGTTGAGGTCTCTTTCACAATCCATCAATCTCGCTCGTGCATGTGTGGTCTTTTCGCTGTATACTATGTGAACTAGGTACTACACGAGTTGCTTCTTGCCCGTCATATGTGTTGCTAAGCTTCAAAGATCGACTACGCCGCATTCAAGATGTCCTCAGCAATCTTCTCTGCCAACGCGTAAACGGCGGATTGCGGATGGCCTGGGATGGAGAAGGGGAACACACTTGCATCGCACACCCTCAGTCCTTCGACGCCAAACACGCGGCCTTTGCTATCCACCACACCGTCCTCATCCCCAGACTTCCCCATGGCGCACGTGCCGCACCCGTGCCATATCGTACTGGCTTGCTGCCGGATGTAGTCGCGCATCTGCTCGTCCGTCTGGACCGCTTCTCCGGGGAAGAACTCCGGTCCAGCCTTGATGGCATCCGCCGGCGCTGATGTCCAGATATCGTTTCGGAGCCGCTTCAGCGCCGTCAGGGCAATCTCAAGGTCGGCCGGATCGCTCAGCCAGTTCGGGAATATGACTGGCGAGTCCAGGGCGCTCGGGCTTTGGATGGTGACATTTCCCCTGGAGAAGACGATCGGAAGAAACGCAGCTGTCGTTCCAATGGTTGTCAGGTTGTTGCCGACAAAGGAACCCACAATGTAAGCTATTTCAGGCCAGTCGATAGGGTAAGCCGCCAGTTTCGACTGCGTCTCGTTCGTCAAGTTGAAGCGGTAGCTTTCTGGGATGCGTTCAAACGCGATATACCCAGCGGCTGAGCTGTACGGCCCTGCTGCATCGTCCAGGTACTGTTTCAAAAGATCTGGCTGCAAGTCCGGATTTGCCGTCAAGGTCTGCCCTGACGGTGTTGAGACAGGATATGAGGCGAACAGTTGAATTGGGTCATGTAAGTTCTGACCTACCCCAGACAACTCAGATACCGAGGGTATTGAGAGGCTGGAGAGGGTAGATGCTGGCCCGATACCTACAAAATTTAGTGAGTGCAACGATAATCTCTAATGGGTAGAGCCAAGTGGCACCTACCGGATACCATCAACAACTGCGGCGAATGGAACACGCCTGCCGACACGATGACTTCCTTGTTCGCAGAGATTGTATATCCTAATCCTTGGGTATCGACTTGCACTCCGACAGCCTTGGGCGGGCTTGACTGATCAAAGAGAATCTTTGTGGCCTGAGCCAACGTGTACACGATGAGATCCGTCTCCTCAATGGCTTCGCGCAAGAAGCTGCTCTCGCTTGAACTGCGCACCGCTTTTTTCGGCTCGATCGTGCTCGGCACCCATGCGCCGTTACCTGCCAACTTGCCGCTCTCGAAGCCTACTGGGCTGACTGGCAGGTCGGCCCCTTCCCCGACCGCCTTTGCCAGCCAAGTCAAAGTTGGATCCACCCAGTTGTTCCATGATACCTGCAGGGGGCCGCCATCAGAGCTGAATGCTGCTGGATCATACGCCACGGTGACGTTGGTGTTGTTGCGCTTAACGACATCAGGTGGTGTAAGATGTACTGATCGCCTGAAATACGGGAGCATATTCTCAAACGTGTAGCTCTCATCATCGACCGCGTCAGCCCACCGCCCGTACGAGCCCGTCGTGCCCCGAAGATAGCTCATGGTATTGATTGCACTCGATCCACCAAGTGTCTTGCCCTGGGCATAGTGAATCCGTCTTCCCGCAGCATTCGGGCTCGGCTCTGTGACAAGTCCCCAGTCCATCAGCGGCTGCGGCGTGAACGTTTCCGAGGGGTCAATGAAGGCAATGCCCGTCAGAGAGAGCAGGGGAACCACGCTGTTGTTGCCATTGGTAGTCTCGTAGAACGAGCCCGCTTCGATGACTGCTACGGAGTAATGAGGAGCAAGACGAGCTGCTAAAGTGAGCCCAGCAGTGCCCCCTCCTATGATGACATAGTCATATGAAGCATTGACTCCTGGGTATCCAAATGCACTTGAGAATAGCCGATGTTGACTCCTCTGCCCTGAAGATCCGGCATATGTTGAGGCCAAGAGAAGCGTTACAAGTCCCAACCCACTGAGGAGCTTCATTTTCATGAACCAGGATTCAGTGTCTACACGAGTTGCCTCTAACGAGAACGTAGGAATTACCAAAGATCATGTCGATTGTACCAGATGTGTGATTTTAAATGTGACCTAAACCTATCACCCAAGCATAGTGAGTCTGCCGCCGGGGGCAGGCAGTTGTGCGGGGAATTTACAGGGCTGGCCCAACTATTGACGGGCCGTCCCTGGCAGGCCCAGCCCCATACTCTGGTTCACCATCTTGCCGATGTTACATAGGCCTGCATTAGGGCAGCGCATGGGCAAATATTGCGTCAGCAGAACCATTGTATAGCGAGTAAGCCGCGCTGTAGTCCGAGATCATCTTGGAGACCGAGGGCTAAGATTGACTTTAGACGCCCAAAGGAAAGCATCACGTAAGAGAACAGAGGCAATATCGCAAAGTCTAGATGTTAACCCATCTTCTAACCCGGCTGCTTGAGCATAGAAGGAATGAATGCGATAATGTCTTTTGTTTATCGGATATCACAACTAAGATGACATTTCCTAATACTTGTCCAATTTAGCAATTTGAAACAGTGGCACTACTTCGTGACAGCCCTTGTTGACATTTCGCATGCTCAACGCAATATACTTGATCTAGGAAAGCAAGATTACTCTGGTAACTCATTGAGGATTCTCTCCTCTCAAGATAAAGTTCAAGTAACTGTTGAAAGCAAAAGACAGGAATGTCTTCAGGGATCTCCGTTAGAAATCCGAAGAGTTAAGGCAGGCAGGGGCTTTGCTCTTCCTATCTGAAACTCATATAGCACAACTTAGCTCTACTTACAGCTCAATTGAGACAAGGCGACTAGCCAAAGACTTATAGGCATATCTTAAACGATCGTTTGGCCAAAATGAGTAAGAAATTCGTGAACCTGGGCTATACCAAGCTCGGTTTCGGCCGAGTGTCTGAGCTGCGGAAGCATTTGCAGTCACCTCTACTAGCTCTGCACTTGGATTCAATCAACTCAGGAAATTGAAACTCGTCTTTACCGCTGGGAAAAGAGTACACAGACGGAAAGCTGTCGATAGCCGACACTCATAAATCCATGCATGTATGTGTGTAGTGAGTCTTGCACCTAATGCGGCTTTGCATTTACTAAGATTGTGGGTCCACCGTTATCTCAACTTCTGCGCACCTAGAAAAGACAAGCTCGGCGATACTTCACGCGTTTAGCATATCAAAGCCACCTTCTTCAGCTCATGGGAATGACGAGTCGCAATAATTTTCATGAGGCTGAGAATGGTGCTGAGCCAGCCGAAGTCCATCTCGCACGCCAAGCACCTAATAAGAAACCCATCAACGCTCTCCTAGCGTTACTCCTCCTCGTCAACCTAGCAGCAAGTCTATATCAACTTCCTCTAAATAGGCTAGTCGAGAGACGCCTCTGCCGTGAGTATTACGAAGAACACCAGCCCTCGGCAAGGAATCCCGATGGCAATATTCCAGAAGAGTTATGTAAGCTCAATGGTATCCAGCAAGATCTTGGATGGATTCAAGGAGCAATGGAGACCGCCTGGATTGTCGGCGGTAAGTGATGTTTTTTGTGCGACAACTAGCCCCAACTAATATGGCCCAGATTTCATCATGACAATACCACTTAGCTTCGTTGCTGAGAGGTATGGAAGGCGGGCAATCCTACTACTCAACCTTATCCCCCGAGTGTTCATGATCTCATGGGCGGTGATGGTAGGGTACTTTGAACATGCCTTACCAACAAGATCAATCTTGCTTGGTCCTTCCTTATCATTCCTTGGTGGCGATTGTGTCTTCAACTCTATTACGTATAGCCTCGCTGCAAGTTTGACGGACGACTTTGTTGTCAGAGCATCATACTTTGGATATATGAGCTCGATATCGTACGTCGTGGCACTGCTCGGACCCGCCTTGGCTTCGGCCACAATGAGCTGTCTCCTATGGCTGCCATTCTGGCTTGGTATTTGCCTTCTCCTTTGCGCCATACCGGCTATATCGATGCTTCCAAACCACACCGTTTCATCAACAGAACTATTTAGCGATAATGACGACGCTCAATCACACCCACTTCTTTCCTCACCGTTATTAAAAGCCCAAGACTCCGACCAGTCATGGTTTCGATCGGTTGTCAACCGTTTCAAAAGCTTGCAAAATATTCTGGCCAGCCATCCTCGAAACTTTACCTTGATGCTGATTACCTTCTTCCTGGCTTCCCTCGCGAGTTCCGACACGAAACTGCTCGTGCAGTACATCTCAAAGCGATATAATTGGACGTTTGCCTCGGCGGGCTACTTGATCTCTGGCAAAGCAGTCGTCAACTTTGTTCTTCTCACTGTCGTCATACCGAGGATCTTGCGCTCAGGGTCGAGCTCTTCTACTCAGTCTACAGACAAAGTCAACGTCCGCTACGCCAATATCTGTCTGGCTATTTCTGTCGCAGGGGCTCTCGCTATTGCTGTAGCTGCTACAGTGTGGTTACTTGTCCCGTCACTGTTTATCTACGCCCTAGGGTCGGCACTGCCAATATTCACACTCTCCTTGCTCAAGTCGCCGTATATCTGTCCATCGAACGAGAGCCGTGGTGCCGGCCATGACGAGCCCGAGACCCACATATTCTCGATTGTCATGCTCGTCAAAACACTTGGCTCTCTCCTCGGTGCGCCACTGATGGCAACTTTATGGGTTCGTGGCATTGGGCTCGGTGGCGTTGCTCTGGGATTGCCTTATTTCATCAGCGCTGCCTGTTACACGGGGGCAATCATTGTCTTCTCAGGAATCAATATCGACGTGTGATCCGCGCTGGGGGTATTTCAAGCTTGAACGTTGAAAGTAAGGTGGGCGCTTATCACTCTGCTTCATCCACATCACGATAGATTTATACTTGTTTGTCATTGAGTCGAGATTCCGGCATGTACCATAGCGCTTAAGTGATAGTCCTACATTACGTATTACCCCTATATTGGGCCGATATATCGCTCATCTTGAAGTGTCAGCAGACTTCAACCATTGCGGTGAGCTGCGAGATGGAATAAAGGCATCTGCTGCCGTACTCATAGATCTCCTCCCTTCGCGTCGTGGCTTGATGTCGTATATATCGACATCGCTATCAAAATAACAAAGTCAGCAAATACGAGAAGTGTGAGGTTGTTGGAGATGGTGCTTACAAGTCAAATCTGTCCATGAATTGCCTGCCCTCTGCTGCACTATTCACCCATACGGCTGTACTACGAGGTCCGACTGGGAACAGTCCCCATCCATTCTCGTCTATGATAATCTCACCCCAGCAGCAATGAAGGATGTCGGTCCATCGCTCGCCAGCATGTCTTGTTCCCACGTACATCCGCTTGCTAGCGAAGGTCCATCCGCTGGTGAGGACAACGGCTAAGCCAGCACCCCCTGATCGTGAAGGATGGCCAGTCCTGGTGAATCCGATGCAATTGGTTTGGTCGAAGTAATCCAGCTGAGAACCATATGCGTAGAGCTTGCGAGCAAGCATGAGTTTTGGGACCAGAACCCCTCCACTGGCCAGAGAACTGAACGTCCTGCCATCGACCTCTGGTTCAATGCAGCCGTACAGGTCCCCGTAGAAAACGCATGGAAGACCCGTGTCAGCGCGGAGAAGAATGAGTGAGTACGCCATCGGAATAAAGTATGGAGCAACAGGGGTCTAAGAGAAAGTCAGTTGTAGTTTCAAGACTTTCATCATCATCATTCAGACCTCTAGCGACTGTCCTTTTTGCTGTGGACGGTTAGTCATGCATCCAAATCTTTCCTGCGCGCGACTCACTGTGTCATGATTTACAACAAAGGACTAGGATTCGTCAGCAGAAACAGCATTATTCGGCTGCGAATCACTCACAACAGTGTTCTGTGGCTTAAGAGATGCCAGTGTTCCTTCAAAGACTGTTCGGAGGTCTGGATCCTTCTGGAAGGACAGTCGCGAAAAGTTGGAACACAACTTCACGTCGAAGAGAGATATGCGGTGGTTCATATACTCGATGTACTTCGCGAGAACAACCGAGTCTTCCCGCCAATACTCGCCAACTATGAACCAATCCGGCCCAATAGTCCGGTCTATATGTTGAAGCATCTCGCGCAGGAAGCCACCAGAGTAATGCTTGATCGCGTCAAGTCGCAATCCACCCAGTTTCAACTGGGATGCCAACCACATCACCCATATTGCGATATCACGTCGGACTTCCGGGTGTCTATGATCCACATCGGCAAACATGCTAGACTTTGTGAGCTTGCACGAAGTCATGGGCTTGTGATGATAGCTTACAGGTAGTCATAGTTTCCTAACTCTTCATCAACATCATTAGCCCAAAACTTGCCCTCAAACTGCCAAACGGCCTTAGCTTTCCCTCTGTGGTCGTAGTCTGTCCCAGTGAAATGGTCTTTGTTCCATTTCATCTGACTGTAAGCACCATTACGTCCCTTGAAGTCGAATCCGGTCCACACCTCGATCTTCTCAGGTTTAGCAATGGTCTTCAAGCGGTCTATCGTATTGTCAGTGAATTGTGTATTTGACATTTTCTCTCAGCCTGCCGTACTATTTGGATCAACCTTCCTGGCCCATGCTGTTTCAGTGAAGTCGGCACCAGCTTTGTGGTTTAGCACGGTATCGAATATCAGCTTGACTCCGTGTGCATCCGCGGTGTTGGCCAAGTCAACAAGTTCGGACTTTGTCCCCCATTTGGTATGCTTAGCCCCTTTCTGATGAAACTCTCCTAAGTCATACAGGTCATATATATCGTATCCATTACTCTTAGCCCAACTGGCTTTGGTTGCTGGTGGAATCCACATGCTCGTAATCCCAAGCGTTGCAAGATCAGGGATAACCTTTTTCAATCGTAGCCAATGCTTGTGATCTGCTGGACAGTACCATTCGAACCCCTGAAACATCGTCTGGTTTTCGGGACATGTTTGATCGTCAGGGACGTTGAGCATTTTTGCTGTTGATAAAGTCTGATGTGATCTGTCCTTGACATGCTGTGACAGAACATATAAGCCGACATATTGAGTCCTTCTGAAGAGGACGTTCTCACTTTTGTCAGTTAGCTCAATTGTCACACATGCGCAGCTATCTCACCCATCGGAGCCGATATAATGGATATAAAAACGTCTCAATAAGGCAGACAACATTCGCAGTGTTCATGTTGGGAACGCGCGTCACATATCTACGAGAAACAGGCAGTTACGTAGAATGAAAGTGCACTTGGTTCTGAAATAACGTTGGGGTTCAGCAGCTGAAGAGACGCCTCATCTGACGTGAGCAACGGCACAGCACGTTGACCGCCTAGTCTAAATGCTTGCCGAACTAGCGCCCGCCCTGCCCCAAAAGACCCTGAAACTAAACATCTCCGTCGATGTTATACATAGAATAACGAACGAGCCACCTTAGACGCCGTTGCTGTACCACTTTACGCAGTGTTTTGGCTTCCGAACTATAGCCGATATATCGAGAACAAAGTCTCCTCCAAAGTCTGACATAACCGCTGAAAGTATCCCATCTTAAAATGCCGCTACAAGCCCCCCAGCTCCTGCTAGTGCCATCGCCGCTAGCAGAACTTCGCCAGGAGCAGCGGTACGCCCCGCAGCACCGGGGCTCGAGCTGGTAGTGAGTGATGTTGCGGTTGGCGAAGAAAGCGACGTAATTGACATGCCCGTCGTCGATGCTTCTGGAAAAGTGCTCGTAGATGTCGTGCCATTCGTCGTTCTGACTGTGAAGACCGGGGTCCCAGTTGGGCACACAGGAGTCAATTCCGCGCCCTCTAATGCGACATCCGGGCCGCTACAACACAGACCTTTCATCATATTGCCAGGGCAGCCCGACCACTGTGGGTTGTTTTCGACACAGTCATCGAGTGGTAATTGCCACCATGCATCACTGTCGATGCAATCGCAGTCGCCGTCCACGCAGGTGCTATTTAGGCCCATACAGCAGAAACCTTCTTGGACGTAATAGGCACCTTCGCATGGGATGGGAGGGATAACATCGTTCGCATCAGGTGTGAATATCGAGTCTTCAGCACTGGTTGTGCTGGTGCAGTAGTCGTATGGAGCTGTTCCCGTCGTCGTAGTACTGGGCGTTGTTGTGGTTTGTGCAAAAGCTGTAGCCACAAGCCAGGTAAGGACTGATAATGAGAGACGGGAGTGCATTGCTACTGGAGAGCGACAATAAAGCTGCCAGGGTAATAGATGATATCAAACAAAAGATGCAAGCTTGACAATGTGGTGTTCTATGCTCTTCGCGTCGCATTTAAATCAATTGACTTCGACGACGGAATTAGGTGGCTTATATAGCATTCCATTGTGAAGAAGCCACTGGAGCACCTCGTGTATTTTCCCGTTTTGTTCGTGAAACTCACTCTACAGCGGCGCAGCAGGGTTCCATGATGACTGCTTCTCTTGACACATTAAAGCGAGATAACCCTCCGCCAGTGATATGCGCGAAATGAGATTTTCCTTAGTTATCGCTTGTCGAAGGAGCGACAAGGTTGGCTTGGTCTCGTAGCTCAGCCCTATAGAGTAAGATCGGACTCGTGCTTCGGATCCAACCGTGTTCCTTTACTCCAGCATGGCTGAGCTGCAAGACAATGCCAGGCACCAAGAGATATGCCATACATTAGTTGCACTCGGACTAGGCAGCGCAATGGCAGGGATGGAAAGACAAAATATGCAAGGTACAATAATCATGAGATCCCAACCTGTTCTTTACCATTAGCCTCCCTGCAGGAGGCTTGCTTTCAGAGCACGCACATCGTCATTTATGCACATCATAAGACCTCAACGCATATTTTGGTATATTCTCAGAACATTATCGGATTTGTTACTCATGATTTGAGTCTGGGTACTAAAATTTGCGCATTCCCAAAGTTGATACCATCTCTTAACTCCTGTGTCATTTCAAAACTCTCAAGGTCACCGAGGAAAGCAGAGTACGCAGGTGGCGGTGCGTAGGGGAAATCGCTCTGTGGAGACATTGAATATTAGATCTTGGTAACAGATAATAAATCAACCGAGAATGATATTTACCCCAAAGACAATATGATCATGAGGGACCAAGTCGAGCAACGTCCGCAATACTTGAGGAGAGGACGACAGTGCTGTATCGTAATAGAAACTACGAAATGTGCTCAAGGCCTGATCGTGTGTCACTCCAGCTTTAAATCCTGTGATCCCAAGCTCTTCGGTCTTCTTCAGTGGAGTTAACATCCGGCTAATCAAATATGGAAGAGAGCCGCCGGCGTGACTAAGTATCACTTTCACATTAGGATACTTCTGAAGTGTGCCACTAGTCATCATGTCTACTGCCGCGCGAGTCGTTTCGTGAGGGAAGTCAATCAACGGTAGAGGCATTCGAGGGCTGACCATGTGAGTGTCGAACGGATACGTTGGGTGCACAAAGACCGTTGCTTTTCGTTTGTCTAATTCTTGCCATATTGGCTCGATATCTGCATGGCCAAGATAGCAGCGATCGTACCGTGTAAACAAAGTTACACCGTCAGCACGAATATCATCAAGTGCGTACTTGATCTCCGTGAGAGCAGCTGAAGTGTTCTTGATATCAGGAAGAGTGGCGAAAAAGCCGAAAGACTGTGGATCTTGATCTCTAAGAGACGCAGCATAGTCATTAGCCTGACGCGCAAGCACGGCTTGGCCCTCTGGATCAGGAATTATGCACGCTCCGGGGGCCGTCAATGACAACACGGCGGTTTTTACTCCTTGATGCTGCATGAGAGCTTTCGAGGCTTGAGGGGCCCATTTCGGTGTGGGCCATCCACTTGGGTCACCTAAGGTCAGTCAGTTTTGACTCCCAAAACCATTCGAGGCATTGACTTACCTCCATTCTCTTCTACCGCTAGAACAGCGTAAATTTTCCTTAGCATCCATTGCTAAGATGATGCCGGCAGTGATATGCACAAACCTTTTACATAAAAGTCTGGAACAAAGTGATGGTGGAGATCAATCTTATTCACTGGGGGCTTGGAAATCCAGCCTAAATCTTTGAAGGGGTCTTGGAAATACTTTAGCTGGGATTCCAGTTATAGGTGCGAGTTCACGAGGGCCACCAACCCATTTGCTTTTAGATATTAGCTATACTGTCGCTTTTCGAGATGTTTGCGGAGAAGGGGTCAAAATTCCTGGCGCTTGTGTTCGGATGTTAGGTTGCTTCTTGACGATAGCTTTATGGCGGTTCGGACAATCCTGTTACTCCATGGAACAATTCCAAAGTTCCGACAACGACGCGACGCCGCGACAATGGGGTAAGAGATTTAGCACCGACGGCGCTGTATTTCGTCTCAGCATCCGCTTTTTAGCTTGGAAATCGCTCCATAAGTGTCGGTGAGTCGGGGTTCCTAGCTGTCCGCATTTTACTAGGAGACCTCATTTTTACCTACGGGAAAAACGGACTCAGTATGCAATCGGTTGATTGCAATTAGGCGTGGTAGCGTTCAGTGAATGCCTCTATGCCTGGGGTATATGTGACAGTAAATTAGATGCTAGCTCTAACGAATTCAATTCTGGACCACCGAAAAGAAGCAACAAGCCTGGGCTTGGAAGCTGTCAACTTAAGGTTCAGCCATCCTCAAGACCCTAGTCCTATGCAGCTACCATAATTAGCATAGAAAGCTAAGTCTTGAGTTGGATAGCAGATTATTTACTGGCTATTACCGAGACGACATTTAGAACTCTCCTGAGAGCTCACCTCAGTCCAAAACTACCAGCGTTTTGTCACAAACTAGATGCTAAGCCGCGATTGCACCAATTGCAGTGTCGCCTCTGCTTATATAGTAAGATACGGAAGCATCAGCGGGGTCGTTCCTACCCTCGAAGATTTGTGGAGGTTAAGGACTTTATAACCTCACTGTATCAACAAGCCACTGGGAAAAGTTATTTTATCGATTGACTTACCAACTCTGCGAATCTATCACACCAACTACGCCATCTCGGTCACTCACAAGCACTTGGTTTCGAGACATGGAGATCTAGTTGACAATGGCGACTAGTTTTACGTGTGTACTGTACAGGATGATCGCCACGTTGCAAAACTTAGCGCAGACCCATCAACGGATTTACAAGGGTTGAGAGGCTTGAAACCATCACGAAAGACTCCACCAGTGGACATGCCCCCTTGAAAGGGTATAAGCAGCCGTGGTAAGCGCTGGCAAAGAAAATCTGTTGACTATCGGCATACATCTGCCGACATTCCCCGCAGTGTCTGCGAATTCTTAGCATAGCACAACAGATACTGGAGACTGGTTCGTCTCTTGTTGTCAAGTCTGTACGACCACAACTACTCGTTCTAGAAGCATGTCAGACGGTAAAGCAGCTGAAAAGACTTCCGAACCGGCCGTTGCCGGTGCGGCATCAAGTCCGACGGCAGCCCCTGCTAGCACTTCTCCGGAGGCGTCCAAACCGGCGTCTCCCACCAGCGCACTAACGAGTGAGCCGTCGACAAGCTTCCTCCCTGCCGAACACTGGCTTCACGCAGCACAAGTCCGTACAATCCAGTAGCGCAACTTGCGTATACTTATACTAAGTGCCCTTTAGGACAATCCTACCGATGAAGACGATCGCGACTCAGCCTTGGGAGACGATCGAGATAGCTCAACAGCATCTATCTCCTCGAGTATACTGCACTACAGAACAATCAATGGGAGAACGTACCACTCCGAACGAGGGAATGCGAATTATTGGTGCGACAACACATACAAGATACAGAACTGGATCGGTGGCTAATAGATTCTCGGACTATTAGGACTCCCAACGACGAAGAACATAATGAATCTATGGATATCAAGTATGCCTGTCGAGCAGCATAGCCCCCCTAGTCACTAATCCTAATAGTCACCACCTCCTTCTCCTTTCTCTTGACAACAAACTATTCTTTGCACCGCTGCAGAAAGACATAAAGGTCCACCTACAGGCGCTACTTATGCTTGAATAGCGGACTAATATTTGGATAGAAAGCTCTTGATGTCGGGACCGGAACAGGTATATGGGCTATGTAAGTACCATCAGCACAGGCTGCATGGCATCGGCTGTTGACCGCACGTAGTGATTTCGCAGATGAATTTCCAGAGACCGAAGTGATCGGAACTGACATTTCGCCTATTCAACCAAGTTGGGTTCCGCCTAACCTGAAATTGTGAGCCTATTCGCAAATTCAGCCCAAAGTGTAATGACCCCAAATACTTACCTTCCTTCAGCGAGATCGATGACTGCACCCAGTCGTGGACATTTCCTGATAACTCATTTGATTACGTCCATCTGCGGTATCTTTATGGAAGTATCGACGACTGGAATGCATTATTTAGGGAAGCCTACCGCGTCTGTAAGCCTGGTGGCTGGATTGAGAGTTATGAGGCTTCGCCAAATATGGAGAGCGATGATGGTACTGTTACTGAGACCAGCGCCATGAACCAATGGGGTAAATTTTTCATAGAGGGTGGGAAGAAATTAGGTCGCACATTCACTATCATTGATGACGATTTACAGCCAAAGGGAATCACGGATGCTGGGTTCACGAACGTCCAGACATGGGACCTCAAGGTATGCTTACTGGTTCAAACCTCCTCACAATTTTGTACAGATAACTGACTTCATGCTATCTAGGCCCCTATTGGCGCTTGGCCCAAAGACCGACGCCTGAAAGAGATTGGCCAGTTCGCCCAGGCGGCCTTGGAACAAGATTATGAAGGCTATGTCTCATACATGGCAAACATAGTACTTGGTTGGTCTATGGATGAGGTCAGGGTTTATTGCGCACACCTCAGGCGCGAGATTCGATCAGCTAAATACCACGTGTTCTACCGACAAAGGGTCGTATGGGCGCAAAAGCCGGAGTAGTGCTTACACAATAGTGTCAGTCTAAATAGAGCAGACATTATCGGTTTCTTCATAGTACAAATCCTTCGATACTGATAAATCAGCGAGGTGGGTAGCTGTTAAAGCAAGATATGTATGTTTTGGTGCACCTCAGTGATAGATTGTAACAGCCAATCCGGTCCAGTCAAGGCTCAGTGGCGATCGGGGATTGCGGGCTTTCTCATAACGGAGGATCAAAGTCTTGGCAGGAGTTATCGGAAGACTCATCCCATGAAATTGGATAAGCCCGAGAGATCATATCGAAGATTACTTAATGACTTCTGGAAAGGTCCCAATTCTGGAAATCTCAAGGATACTCTTGATGTTCCATCATGTACAGGATTGCTCAAGAGAATCGTGAGTCTATGTCCAAAATTGTTAAGGCCAATGGATGTATCGAACGTAAACAATCTGCAAAGTGCTAACATCTGACTGGATTGGGAATATGACTTGCCTGGATCGTGCACAATAGCGAATCTGATGTTATGTATATATACTAGACCTAGTTGGGCTATCAAGTATCTAGCTTTTCGTCCCCCAAGATTTTCACCTTTGACGAATAGACGTGATAGCATACGACGGCGGTGTAGAAACACGCAAAATATCCCATCCAAGGTTCAGTGGCACGAGTAATAGTAGTCAGTACAACAACGCACAGTCAGCAGCCTGTGGGAGATGTTCAGTTGAGGCGCGGTTCGGAATCTCGCCGCGAACGCCGAACCTAGCGCTTGGTGCTGACTACCTAACATTCTCATGATAATGACCTGTTCTCACTACCCAACATTTTCATAAGACGCCTTATCCCCAGCTATAAAATGGCAGTCCGACAAATTGGGCCTTGTGTGGAAAGGTATTTGCCAGGTGTCGATTTGCAGGTTTCCTTCGAATCTCCATTACCATGACCACAGTGGCAAAACTACATCTATCGTACTAGCTGAGGATGAGTGAATTCGACTTCATAATTGTTGGGAGTATGTGTTTCCTTAAATTGCATTCTCTGGCAATACTGATAGAGTTAGGCGGTCCCTCTGGAGCCTTGCTCGCCTCTCGCTTAGCCTCATCCAAAGCTGCACCGTCAATTCTATTGTTGGAGGCTGGTGGGAAGGCAGATGACTTGGCGACCCGAAGCCTTGCAACAAGATGGATCTCATGGGTTGTGAAACCTAACCTCAACTGGGGTTATAAGACTGTTCCCCAAAAACATCTTCGAGATCGTATCCTCGACCAGTCTCGCGGTAAAGCTTTCGGGGGAACAACCAACATCAATTTCTGCATCTGGACTACGCCTCCCAAGGGTGATCTCGAGGAATGGGCCACGAGGATTGGCGACGAATTCTTTGGCTGGCTTAATAGCAAACTACTGATGGAAAGTATTGAAGCTTATAATACAAAGCAGTCAGTCTCTGATTCTGCAAGGATGCCTGGCCTCGAAAATTATGTCCAAATCGCGGATGGATCTCACGGCAATATGGGTAAAGTCACTGCAGAGTTTAGTCAAATTGTCGACAAAGGTTCTGCAAGCTTTTTGAATGCCATGGCAGCATATGGGTGGCAAGCAAATCCTGACCTAAATTCGGGCGATCCAATCGGACATGGGTTGATACCTTCATTCTCACAGAATTTAAAATATCGTCTAACAGCCTCGGCTGCCTATCTTACAAAACCTCCCACGAATCTGGAAATCAGATGTCTTACACAGGTATCTAAAGTCTTGTTTGAGGGAAAGAGGGCAGTCGGTGTCGAGACAACTGAAGGACATGGTGAGTTCACTTAATTGAGGATTCCATGCGAGACTGATTGACCCTGATATCAGCATTCCATGCTAAGAAGGAAGTGATCATTTGTGCCGGGGCTATTGACACACCCAAATTATTAATGCTTTCTGGTATCGGTCCCGCTTCAGATCTCATGGAACTTGAAATTCCTGTTATGGCTGATCTCTCCGGAGTTGGCTCTAACTTCCGAGACCATACACTTCTCTCATTTGACTATGAAGTTTCTTCAGATTTAGTTGGTGAGCCCGAACTGGTTACACTCCCTCCTGATGAGAAGACATTGCCAATGCAAGACCTCGTCAACCTAGCGGTTGCCTGGGTCAAGGACCCGAATGTCGAGCAATCCAGTGAGCTGGGAAGCTTACCGGAGGAGAATCAACGTTTCATCACGAGACCTACAGTTCCATCTTACGAGATTGCTTGTGGCGGTAACTGGCCAAAAGACATACCTCACGATAAATCCTCCATGACAATCAAAACGTTTTGCATGGGCGTCCAGTCTACAGGCACCGTCCGACTACAATCTCCGAACCCAAAGGACGCACCATTACTAGACCCGAATTACTTATCTCACCCTTTTGACCGCCTTAACACCATGGCACAAACAAAAACTGTAATGGATTTAGTAGCGAATAGCGACTTGGCGAAGCATGTCGTGGGACCAATTGCAGCGCCAAAATCAACTTCTGAAGAAGACATAATAGATTTCGTTGAGAGCAATGTTAGCTGTGCTTGGCACCCAGTTGGCACAGCTAAGATGGGCATCCAGGGAGATCGAAATGCCTGTGTTGACAAACACTTCAAAGTCCTTGGAGGTGTGCAAGCATTGAGGGTTATTGATGTCAGCGTGTGCCCCTTCATGCCAAGTACCCACACGACCTCTATCGCATACCTAGTAGGGGCTTGGGGGGCTGAAAGATTGATCGCAGAATATTCTCTGAATTAGGCATTTGATCCTTAATAGCAGCAATGGAAATGTCATCCTACTACTACTATCCACTGTGAGGTTGGTTGTCTTGTTACCCCCGTCTTGCATTCTACTGAATCAGGATACGTAGCGAGCCTGGCCGTATGGAAACTGATTTGTTCTCCCTGAAGGCAATGCCTCTTCAAACCTCAACCTCATTGTACGCAGTCCATTCCTTACCACGCCAGAACTTCTGTCCACCTCTAAACGAATGCTCAATTTTCTCCTTTGCCCTTGCTTCCATCCTTGCTTCGAAGCCCCTGATGCTACTCTCCGTAATACCTTCTTCAGCAAGTGTCCGTGCCAAGTCTGCGGCGTTACGGATGGCCGTATCCCCACCGGAGCCGCCCATGGGGCTCATTGGGTGTGCTGCATCGCCAATCAGCGTGACTCTTCCATTACGACCAGCCGAGCACATTTGTATGTCTGGCTTGCTCGAGAGAATGGGAACGCATGCGGACAGTTCGTGCGCAGCGGAATCAAGCAGATGCCTCAGAGCAGGATGCCAAGTCTCCGAGACTCGCGCCAGGTACAGTTTCCTTTCCTCCGCCGTCTTTGGCAAGTCCTCCTTGTATTGTGACACCGCGGTGCAAACAACCCAGTATATGTAGTCCGAGAAGTCTGGTAGCTTGTCCTCAGACTCGATGCGAACGCTCCTTGACCACGTTATCGGCTCGACAACTGTCTGCACGTTAAACTCGTGATCTAAGCACATGCACCAAGTCAACAAGTCTCGCGCTCCAAATCCCTTTTTCAAGTCGTCCCTCATTGGCGTTCGGCCCCAAATGACCCAGCGCTCCAAATCAAGCAGCTTGCGATCTGGCTGGAGCTGTTTTCGCACACTGCTCCTAACCCCATCTGCGCCAACAAGGAGCTGTCCCCTTGCTGTCGAGCCATCTGTGAATTTGACCTGGACCACTCCTTCAACAATCTCGTAGGAGTCGAACTCTTTTCCGTATGCAATGGAGTCCTGGATTTGGAGAGAAGCTAGCATACGGAGCCAGGTTCTGTCAAGGGCCATTGAATCCGCGGGGTCTACTGGCTCAGGCTCGGCAAAGTCAAGCTTCCGGGCGTCTACATATCGCGGAGCGAACTGATGTCTCTCAGCTGCGGTGCGTCGGAGCAAGTCTTGGAGCTGCGGCGACAGGACACTGTTGAGGGCGGCCTGGCCCTCTCTTGATATTCGTAAGCGATGGCCCTGCTTGATCTGCGATTTCGCACGACGCTCAAAAATGCTAAAGGGAATGGAACGAAGTCGCAATCCTTGCGCAAGCGTGAGTCCGGCGACGCCGGCGCCGATTATGAGAATTGGAGGCTCAAGTGGGGTTGGTTGTGCCATGGCTGACAAGTCTGGATATTGTTGACCTCGTTCCCGGAGCACCGTGACCGATAAGCAGACACTTTTCTGGTTGTAATCACAGCTCACCGGATCCAGATGATGAGGTCGGATAGAATGTTCTGCGGCGCAAGCACACCTCTTCCCTGCCCGCTACAAGCTTACTAAGACCTAAAAAGGTCCCATATGAGCTGATCATCTTCGCCTTTGCCCTGAAATTAGGCCATAATTGAAGGCGCTATCAATCTGAGTGGTTACTGTCATTGCGGAAGAGTCGCGTTCTTCCACGACATCTCCTAATCTGTCTTTGCTCTTGAGCCATGAATTAGTCATTATGAGACCTGTCGCAAGACTACCGGTTAAGTGGTTGCCTCTTGAGCGGTCCTCCTGGGCATCCATCCCGACGCGCGAGAACTGGCCGCTTATGACTCCTGTACAACGCTCACTCGCTATTTCTATGCAACATACGGGGCCGCAGCATGCAACCACTACCATGATGCGGGAAAAGATGTTGGAGAGTTTGCATGTGCGACCGGTCTGCTGGATCAAACGGAAGGGCACTTGAACTGTGTGTAGTTGTGGATTGAAGACACCCGAGACGGTGGCGCGAGTCTGTGCCTGAAGACTCCCATAAGACAGGCTCGTAGTCAAGATAGTAAGAATGCTATAGACTTGCCCAACAGCCTTGCTACAACGCCTACACCCACCGAAAGTCCGGAGAAAAGTCAAGAGACGCTGAGTGCGAAATGTCACTGCGGTAATGTCTGTCAGTTTTCGATTTTGCGTTCACATCGAAAAGGTACCAATGAGCAGTCCGAGGCGTACATCGACACTGACAAGTCTTGTCGACGATGCACCGGGTTCGAAATGCCATGCTGGGCCAACATCCTGAGAGCATCTATCCACCCTCCACTCCTGGAAGTGCCAGGGTTGGTCCGCTACCAGAGTTCTGACCGTGTATGGAGAAGTTTGTGCGGTCGTTAGGGAGCGAAAGCTTACTGGTGGAAGGAGACGGCTAATGACAATGGATTTGTTGCAGGAGGACAAGCTAATGCCGAGTAAGGCGTGCGAGCAGAGCATTGGGTGAGATTGACCGACATGGACCGGGGTCTCGTTCATCAAAGAAGCTACTGATTGGGCGATTGTTTAGGGGATAGAAGATGTACCACATCGTGAATTTAATTAAATCAATTGTCATTATTACAGTGTATGTATTTGTGTCGCGAAAAGCGCACTATACAAATCACGCATGTTCGAAATGGGTCAGTTAAGCTGAGAGAAGAAGGACCGTTCAATATCAGAAGTTGATTTACTAGGTTTTGTAGATAACCCTAGATGTTTTTCTCTCATCCATACACGACTGTTGGCTACCTGCTCGCCTCCTTTTTGGCCCTGCTCGGTTTTGAAAACAAAGCATTTGTCGAACAGGAGCTAGAGGTACCTTAATGCTGACCCGCTTGGACGGAGGTCACGAACCATTGATGATCTAGCTTAATAAATGTGAATATAGTGACGGCCGTGTCTTTGGTTCTTTTGCCGCCCTTATTGGCTCCGGACAGGACCCAGGCAAACCCATAGTCAGAAGTAGATCTCGCTTTGATATCAAAGATCTGCTCGTCGAAATATATTCCTCCCGGTTCATCGTTGAAAATACTGGCCAGGTATTCGATGTACTCGTTGGTTGAAAGTGTGAGAATGCCTTCGGAGAGTACCAATGTGGCACCGCCCTCCGGCAACATGTGTGCTCCTAAGATATCCCAATTGCAGTCACGGATAGAATTCCAGACAGCTTCGATTGTGCAACGGAAGGGTGCTTCAGGCTTGATTGGGGGGATGGTCGAGCTAGGCGTTGCTAGGGACCATGATTGATCCGAGATAGCGGCGATCTTCCATCCTTCGTCGGTTTTCGCCATCGAGAAATGCTCCCACGCAGAGCTTGTGGCTACGTCGTCAATGGTAATGACAGCACGACCGTAGACGAGGGCCAAACTGCCATGAATCCAGACTTTCGGCTCGTACAAAGATTCGACAAAGCTCTCTACCCCACTGCCGTAAAGCTGCTCCAAGATCTTCTCGAATTGTGGAATGTATGCACCGAGCTGAGTGCTGACCAAGCCACTTTCATGGAGAAGGTTGTTCTGTCCTCCGTGGATTACGGTGTCGTAGGCTTCAGTCAGAGGTGGTCGGTTCGGTGCCGAGGTCGTGATCAATAGTGCTTGTGCGGCAGCCAGCACCTTGGCCTCCTCTGATTCAATTGGGCCAGCAACTACAAAACTTGCAAGCCCTAGAAGTGTCAAGATAAGATTCCCAAGATGCATTGTGATCAATATGTTGTCTTGGGTAGTAGAATGAATACTAGTTTCTGACAGACTTGGTGGTAAGGCAGAATATCTGTAGTATCAAGGATATCACTCTTAAAGGATAATGGCTTTTCTAGCAAACTTTCCTGGTTTTGTCGGATGGAGGCAAATGCCAGACACTGTGGATTCATTTCCATACAATCAGCATTGATGGAGACCTCGTATTCCCGTAATATAAAGTTCAGTGATAGATAAAGATAGAATCCCTCGCAATCATGGTAAATAATTACGAAATACCCGTCTGGGTTCAAGAATATGGAGCTCCGTGGATCGAACTAAGCATAAAGCCCGGCGTTCAGCACCTAAGCTGGCATCCGTGGCCCTAATCTCCACGGAGTCGTCCCCTGGTTTATGAGAGGTGCATTCACGTCCTCAAGTTGTGCAAGTAGAAAAGCGGCTAAGTATGGTCCTTTAAACTATTAATGTTAGATTTTGACAGTCTTTTACAATAATCATAAAGACTGAGTGAATCGGAGAGGGGCAGCATTTCTGAATGATCTCGCCTTCGAGCATTCGGCATCGAAGGGACCCCTAGACTAAGTAATTCAGGTGACTTTGGGTCATTCATGAATGCCTGCCAGCGACAATGCCTATTTGGCCATTCATTCGGGTTTGTACTATAACTATGAATGGTTGACTTCAACATTGTTCGTGAATCCTAGTCTATCAACTATAGCTGTCTTGTCATTACGATTGCTTGTGCATAGGCCACAAGTCTGTCAAGCCACACCTTGCTATCCTAACTACGATATATAAGCATATCAGCAGCCATGGCAATTTCGCAGACTTTCACAACTCTCTCGTTCTTTTCGTTGAGGCTATAGCAGAAATTATGTAGATGTTAAGGGTGATCCCCTCTCCTCTAACTTCATGTAATTACGTACGATATTTGTATCGGCACTCTCGAGACCTTCTTCGAATTTCAAAAGTAAGACCACTGTGAAATAATTGCTCAGGAGCAGGCGCCGTTCATTGGTCTTGCGTCTGTGAATCGCCTTCCAGGGCCTCATCCCGGGCGCTTCGAACTGTTCAGTTTGACTCCACATCCACTGGAGAGATCCCTCATCCAAAGGAATCGGCATCTCCGTCATATGCAAGAAAGCGCTACCAACCTGGATTCCACAGGACACGAAGAGAATGCTAGACTTTTCTTTGCTTTCAAGTACGAAAGCTGTGATATTTCCAATTGTAGCATCCAACCGTTCTTCGTGTTTTAGTCAACGAATAATGTTGTATTCGTAAGCAAAACGGCCGAACCCTCGGATGTCATTCATGAGTTCCATGCGCTTTTTACGAATTGGTTCTCGAATATACAGAGTCCTTCTGGGCCACTTATCAATGTCTTCTGCAGGTCGGGTATCATACATATACCGAATTCGGCAAAACACCCATGGCGCTTGAGTGTTGGCTGCATTATTAACTCGAAATAAGAAGAGAATGAGTCGCCGGTTGGGATTTGATGGAACTTGCACCTTACTGCCCGTGGACGTCAAGACACGAAAACCTGATACAAAGGGCGCGACTTCATGTGTTTGGCATCCCAGAGCAATCATGTAGATTGCACCAGTTGAGTTTCTCAAGCGGCTGTAAGGTACCGACGAAAGATCAGACTCAATCGCTATGCGGATAGGTAAGTTCAACCGGAGACCAAGATCTTTGGTTGTCAATTGACCCTCGGACACCTGGTCAAATAGTGTCGGCTTCAATTTCAACTCGCTAAGATCCCGGAAGTGCGAAGGACTGCTGGCAAGCATACTGCAAAGTTCACTGTCAAGAGAATCTAGCTACAAAAGCGTCAGAACTTCAAGTGACTGACCAAACTCAGCTTTGTCTAGAATATTGGTGGAGACGAATTGCGGCTGAAGCGAAGCAGGACCAGCCCTCCCAGAGCTTGCACAACTAGTCTGTCTAGCGTTGCCGGCCGGGGCCATGATTAATGGCACGCCACTGGCCGGCTCGACCCGTTCCTAACACGCCTTCCCGGAAGGTCCTGTTTCATTCCGTTAACAGAATGCGTTGGAAAGACGAAATTGCTCATCAAATCAGCAGCGAGTATAAGTCTGAAAGCTTAGGTTCAAATGCGTGGCTTTCATACCCTAAACATCTGGCATTGTAAAAAGTTTGGGGGCCATTCCTTCAGGTGCAGGATCGGCCCTAACGTTACATGATCCCTGCCAATATCTGGACAGTGGCGGTTAGCATGTGCGGCACAGCAGGTCTCCAACCCACTTGACGTCGCAGGAAAGTCTTATTTTCAAGGGGCGTTTCCAGCCAACTTAACTTTCTATTCTTTCAAATGGGACGTATCTCATGACGCCTTCGTCACGTCTGCACCTGCTTCAACACCTCTTGAAGCGTCACAACATGTGGAGCGCGTTAGGCTCGGAGCCTCTCAACGCCGCGGCACAATGGGAGGGTGAGGGAGGTGGTCGAGGGACCTGGTCCATCTACTCAACCTGCTTAGCGACGCTCATTTTGTGTGTTTGGACATCTGTTCACATGAATATTCCTCAAAATGGCCATGGCGGGATCGAGAAATTCTCGAAGGTAGGGTGGATGCTCATGGCTTTGTTTGCGCCTGAGATTGTACGTCATGTCAAGCAACAATTTTTTGGCCCTGATCTATGAGAATTAATCAATGAAAAAGGTCGTCTACACAGCATTTCAGCAAAGACGGGCAGCCATGCGTCTTCACAACTCCATGAAGATTCTACTTGATCCACTAACCCGGCATCCATCGAAAGCGAACCAGATAAATCACGTTGGTGGCAAGGAAAAGGATGATATCGATGAATACCAGCCGTCAAAACTTGGGCCCTATCGTGCTCACCCCTGGACAAAGACTCATAACGCATTTGCTACAATGGGTGGCTTTGCATTTGATAACAGTGCTAATATTGACGACGTGCCTTTTCCAGATGGAAGGACGCGGCTAGTTCTACCGCCAGCTGGTCTGCTATTCCTTGCGAGACATCATCCGGAATTGATACCAGATATAAGTGAAGAGGCAATCAAGGACAAAAGCAAGACGGATGGCTTGGGCAAACTTATAACCTGCGTTCAGGCTGCCTACTTCCTTGCCCAGACCATCTCCCGGCTCGGTTTTGGCTTGCCTGTCACATTACTGGAACTTAACACAGTCGCCCACAGCCTATGCGCCCTATCGACATACGTTCTCTGGTGGTACAAGCCATTCGACGTCCAGGAACCTGCAGTTATCTCCACTTCAACTCCATCTGTCGGGCCAATATGCGCTGCAATGTGTGTGCGTTCATCTCTAGGGTTCTTAAAGAGTGTACACCGTCCCAATGAGATTAAAGGCATGTTCCGCACGGTCTACTTTGCCGTGCTCGAGTTTGATTTTGATGTCGACGAAGACGCCGGATCCGAGACAGCGAGCATAGATCAACGTGGTGACGAGACTCACATTGAAGAAGCTATTGACTTTGGTGTGCAAGGAGGCTCTCTAGTTGGGGTATGAAGCTGTACTAATCCACGCCATTCTGGCCCATATGCTGATACTTTGACAGGAGAAGCGAGCTTCACGGGATGAAGCAAAACTGAGCGAGCCATTGATGACAGATCATGAGGATAAACTTATTACGGCAAAATCCGATGATCAAAGCTTTGAGATGACTTTGGATCAAGCAAGCCACGGGTTAATCGTAAGATTCACCTGCGACAACACTATGATGCCCTTTGAGCCTCTAAGGTCTTTTTTTGACACCTTCGACACGCCTGGCTGGAGCAGATGCCCCGATGCAATGGTGACAATACCACCAGAGACTCTGAAGCTATGTAACCTAGCACGTCAAGCCATACCCCATTACCCCGAACTGAAGGAGCCTCTCATCAGCAATTGGACCTACCGTCCTGGCGGCGGTCCACCCAAACTCAACAGGGGTCCTTGGACAAGCTTGGTGTGCGACAGAATACACGATTTTCCCCGCCCGGCGGTGACCGGTACGAAGATATGGGATTATGTCGTCAGCACGGTCGGCATCGCTTTCGCGAACCTACTCTATGCAGGCCTCCATCTTCTAGCCTGGAACGGACCGTTCCGATCAACACCAGAGAAGGTGCTCTGGCGGCTCTCCGCCACGACTCTTTGCTTGCCACTAGGGGTGCTAATGCTGGCGACTGTCTTGGTGCCGCTCTCCAGCTCTATTGTCAAGCTCATCAATCCCAGGTTTCGCACCAAACACGGGAAGCCATTCAGCCTGATGAATACACTGTTTGAAACGGATGGAAACGAGAGCTTTGACGATAACATGAAGATTGTTGACAGCACAATGGAGGTGCTCTTTGGAAGGTTTGACAACGAGCCATTTCGGCCGAAAAATATCCTGATAGGCATTCCGATGGTCATTTTGTTTATACCCTTGGTGGCACTGTACATCTCTTCAGTGTTGAGCCTCTTTTGGTCTGCGTTGTATAGTCTATTCATAGGCCGGCCGTTCGTTGTCGTTGAGGGGTTCTTGGCTGTCCCATATTCGCCACCTGGGGTATACCTAACTCCTGACTGGTCGGCCTACTGGCCTCATTTCAGTTGAGATGGTTCAGATAACATGCGACGAGAATCATCTCTTAGGTCTCAATCGGTGCATGTGTTGATAGAGTCGTGGCCAGATAGAATAGTCGTGTCAAGGCAGTGACCTCGCTGCCGCACTATTTAAGATATTAAGGATTCGTCCGGTGGTGTCATTTGATTGTGTGTTTCTGGGTTGAGGAGGCGGAAGTGGACTTGGTGAAAATGGCTCTGTATCTTCAAAGGTCGTGGCGAGATCGATGATTTCAGTTTGATAATGCCAATCTCCATCCGGACCGTTTGGTTTCGTCAGGAACGTAATTTCATAGCTCTCTCCGACACCTGAAGTACAGGGTGCACCATGGTATTGATGTATGCGGGCATGTTCGGGAGGAAGTAAGTCCTCGCTCGCCATTAATTCGGGTGGAAG